GGAAAAGGAGGAAAATTTGGTCAAGGAAAGAATAAGAAAGCCCCATAATCAAGGTCATTAAAAGCAGGGCTTTAAGTAGTGAATTTTACAATAATAAGTTTCCTGTTGGACGTATTCATAGATATTTGAAGTAAAGAGTATCAGCCAAGAATAGAGTAGGAACAACATCAGCTGTATACACATCAGCAATTTTAGAGTACTTGACAGCAGAAGTACTTGAATTAGCAGGAAATGCTTCAAAAGACTTCAAAGGTATAGTAAATAAATTAATTCTTGTTTAGTGAGAAGAATCACACCAAGACATCTTTAATTAGCAATTAGAGGTGATGAGGAACTAGATATTCTTATTAGAGCTACTATTGCAGGAGGTGGTGTTATTCCACATATTCACAAGGCCTTATTAGGAAAATAAACACCAGAAGGAGGAATTCCAAAGGAATGATTATCTATATTATATTAATTCATAGAAAATATTAATGTTATAGAGCTTCACTCATAGTAATTCTTCTTGAAGGCTCTAACTAAATCATTCTATCTATTAAATCAGCACCTTCATATCCAATCTTAGATAACAACTCTTATTAATACAAATACTTAGTTGGATAAAATCGAGGAAATGCAGCATTCTCCTAATTCATTGAATTAATTACATTAAATAAAGGCAAACTACAAAGAGAAGGTGCTATAAATGCACTAGGAGTACCTAATTTTGAAAATATCTTAAATAACATCTCTATTTAAGAATCACCATAAAACAAAATTTCTTTCATTACTACTTAATAGAACACACAACCTAATGACCATACATCCACTGATACATGATACTTTTAAAATTTAAATATAATTTTACATTATCGCAACCTAATAAATTTTCAGGTGGTCTAAAATGTAATGTAATAACTTCATAAGAATGTTTTTCACTATTCGAATTAAAGTTTCTACATTATCCAAAATTCATTCTTGCTATACCAAAATCACTTATATAAACATTTTGGTTTTCATCAACAAGAATATTCAAAGGTTTCAAATCTCTGTGCATGAAACCTAATTTGTGAATATTGTAAACTCCAATTAGAAGCTACTTGAAAACCTTTTTATAATTGATTTCACTATTCTTTTTTAAGTGTTCATAAAGATTATATGGGTAAAATGGTAATACTATATAAACACACCCTTTTTCAAAAATTACTTTTTATAAAGGAACTATATGATTTTATCCCTTTAAAGAACTAAGTGCTGCTATTTCCCTATAAATTAATAATCTACTATTACCTGATAGTTGATTAATCAATCTATTAAGACCTTCCAGAAAAGATTCTTTTAATGGCGAAGATTTCTCCTAAAATTGTTTAAAATAATGTGTTTACCTGTCTCTTCATCCATTGCTTTATATACATCTCCAAATGCTCCATAACCTACTTTCTCTTATAAAATAAATTATTGGACTTTTTTATTATCCTACATTATCAAACAAATTTATAAAAAGAACAAATTAAATATTAAAATTAAACTCTTAATCCCTCTCTTTAATTTATAAACTTGATAAGTATTTTTTTTAAACCTCTATATTTTATATTATTTAAATTATGTTAAAATTTAGTGGAGAATTCAATCACGCTTACATTATTACTTATGAAAGAAAACCAAAGCTCTATAGAAAACTCACTTATTTGAATTTGCTACTCTTTGTTATAGTCTCTTGGCTTTAATTAAATTTCTAACAATCTTTCTTTATTACAATCATTTACAATGTTTTAATTTATATAATTGGTGGAAATGAAATCATAATTGAGCAAATGTAAATTATTAAAAATATTGGTATTTAAATCGAAAAAAGAAAACGCAATGGAAGTACATCTCGAGAATTTATTAATTAAAATATTATAAGAGATGTTGTTCTTTAAGAAGGATTAACTACTTTTACGGTTGAAATTTATCTTGCTATTATATGCAAAGGCATGAAATAGATGATTTTACCATTTCAATATAATCTAGGAACAGAATAGCTAATGTAAATTTATTATCCTTTGAGATAAATGATTATGTGATAAAAAATTATAGCCAATTATTTCAAAACGAAAATTTATATTCAATATAAAACACTTCAAAATTCCATATTATTAAGAAATTTTTTTGATACTACTTCTATTTTCCATATAAAATATTTTATAATTATATAATGAATTTTCAAATAAATATAGCCATATGATTACAATTTGATTATTTTATTAATAATATTATTTTAAAATCTATTTTTGATAGAATTCAATCATAATCCAAATTCATGGGTTTGTGAAGACTTATCGACAAGTTATTTAAATTTTTCATTGTTATTTTCATAAGTTGTTGTTGAGTCTTCAAGTTGATTGATTTCACTAAATCTTTAATACTGTTAAAAGAAATTTATTTTTTTCATTTCCAAATTTAGATGCTATGGTGTCACAAGATCAATGGTGAAATAATTTTAATAATCATCAATGTCTATTTCTTCTTTTGAAGATTCTTGATTCGAATTTGAGAATTATTATTTTTCAATATTCTTTTTAATATGTTGAATATAAATCTCATTTTTATCATTAATTTGTTATTTATTATCGTCACTAGTATTTTTATTTGATAATAAATGATATGTAACAATTTGTACAATGCTATCTTTAATTCTTCTCTAATTTGAAGATTATCTACTTATAGGAATCAATAATCTAAACTCATCATTATGATTTAAGATTTAATTAATAATTATTCTAACCTTTTTGATAATTTTTTTCTTATTCATTATCTAAAATATTTCAGACTTTTACATCAGGATCAATTTATTATTAGGATAACTTTAAGCCATATTAAATCACCTTCTATTTAAATTCCTTGTATTATGATTGTCTTTCTATTCTTTTAATAGATTCAATCGACTTTATTTTTTTGTTCATAATTTATGCAATCTCTTTGGACTTCTTTCCTAATCTCTTTAACTCCATAATCCTTATTCTTTCTTCAATGGAGGTCAAATTATATGTCATTCCTAATCTATTATGACTTGTATTTTTTTTCAGCATTAAACAATTAATTAAAAGAAATTAATTAATCACAGTTTGTAAATTATATTAAAGAAGATATTTTAATAGTCAATACTAATTAAAAAAAATTTTCAATTATTTCATAAAACAATATATAATGTATTGAAATTAATATATTTTTTTTACATACAATTAATAACTCAATTATATTATTTCTATAGAAATACTTAAAAAATAGTTAAATGTTTGATAGAATTTAATCTAGATTATATTTAAGAAAAAAAAAACAATAGTAAATTTTATCTAAAATAAATCAAATTTTGTGATCATTTTATTGATCGACTGATCTCATAAATTAGGTGTATGCATAATTAATTATCTACAAAATTGTAAATTATCTGATTAAAAGCTACTGCTCTATATTTTAATTATCTGGTTCTTCTTCTTTTGGTATAATCTTAAATTAATTTGTTAAATCAGGTGTTTCAAAAACTTGCCTATTATTTAATACTTTTTAAACAATAGAGTCCACAATTTATTAAATTATTCTTCTTTTATTTGATAATTTCTTATGTTCTGGTATTAATTTTTGAAATTCTGATGATTTAGAGGTTAATTATTCTTTAATTAATCTATTCACAATTTTAGTTAGTCTCCTTATATTTTCAATCTATTTTTTTATTTGAAACATCATTACTTCTAAATTTTTATTTTAAATCACCCATTCATAACCAAATTATATTAAAGCTTTCTTCAATTCACCATATTCAGACCTTTTTTCTATTGATTTAATTGATTATATTGTTTTAATGTTTTTTTTTAATACTAGGCTTATTTCTTTGCATGTAGCTCCATTATTCTTCATTTCAATAATAGTAGCTCTTTCCTCAGAAGTTGTTACTTCATATCTTTTGCTCCTTTTGGCTCTAAAAGACTTTTTTTCCATAATGATTGATTATAAATATGAATTATTTTTATGACGATAAAATATGATAATATATAAATGTCAAGAAATTGATTATAATAAATATATTCATTATTTCTTATGATCTAAACAAAACTTTTTAATTCTTTTACAAGCTTCTTCAATAATTTCTAGATCACAACAAATAACCAATCTAACAAACTTATCTCCATAAAATAACTCACCAGGAAAAACTAACACATTCTATTCTTATTATAGTTTCTTAGCAAAATCATTAGATGAATTAATATCTGAAAACTCTTCAGTATTAATAATCAAAGTTGAATACATAGCTCCTTTGGTTTCTCCAACACTAATTCCATAAGCATCATGTAGTCCATGATGTAATGCCTTATATCTGGAATGAAGTTCCTCCATTTTTTATGGAATAATATCTAAACTCATTTTATAGACATCACATAGGGCTGACTAACATATAGTATTTGGCATCAATAAAATATTAGTAATATTTCTTAGGGCTTATTTAACTTATTTAAAAGTCTCTCCTTCTCCGTATAATGCTAACCATCCTAATCTCCAACCTGGAACAAGACATTTTTTGGTTAAACCTGAACATCTTAAAACTGGAACACTTTTAGTATAATCAGAAATAAATTTAAACTCTCTCTTTTCAAATATCATATTCTCATATATTTCATCACTCACTATTGGAAGATTATTATGTCTTTCACAAACTAATATAAATCTAAAAATATATTTTTACAGTTAACAATTTCTGTCAAAGCTTATGGACTTAATTCACTTCCCATAGGATTACTTGGAGAATTGACTAAAATAAATTTAATATCTGGATTCTACTCATAGATGTATTCCAATTCTAAGATATTTACTTACCAAGTTCCTGGATTTAAGTCATAAAATACAACTTAAATTCCATAGAAATCTGCAAATGCTTTTACCAATGGAAATGTTGGTCTAGGCATTAATATCTTATCTCCAGGTTTTGCTAATGCCAAAGTGGCATAAAAGAGAGCTCCACTTCCACCACTAGCAAGAATTATATCATCTGCTTCTAATTTTCTATGATGTGACGATAACATTTCTGCTAATTATGTTCTAACTTTAAAGTCACCAAAAAAATCTGTATAACCATCTATTTTCCCAACACAATTTGCTACAATATCTTTGTATTCATTTGGAGTTTAGAATTTTGGATAAGCTGTTGGATCTCCAAGAAGAAAAACAATCTTTTTTTCTGGTCTTCCTTCTTATTTTCCTTCTCTTTCAACTTAAGGTACTACATGTTCAACCCAATTTCTTATTGGATTTAATGATACTTAAGCTCTTGCAGAAGGTTTAAGCATATCCCATGTTCTTTCAACCTATTACATATTATTTTTTAATGTGATGCAATTAATGATCAAATATTTTTATATCCAAAATTTAAGAATTTTATTTCTTTATTCTCTATGTTTTACTGCTTTGCTAAAAATTAATCATATAACTCGTCATTTTAATATTATTACATACAAAATTCATAAGGCTACTGATAATCAAAATTAATATGCATTCGAAGATTACAAAACATTTGAAATATTAAACTATCACCTAATATTAAAATAGCATAATAAATTTTATTAGCTTTTTAATTAATTTTATTGGTGATGCTTAGCTTTCTCATTTTTCAATCATAAATTCAAAATTGTAAAATAATCAATTAATCTAAAAACAAAATGTTTAATTTTGGGTTTTAGAATTTCATATCCCTAATTTTAAAATCCTTTTGTGAATTTTACTTTATCTATTGATTTGAGAATTTGTTATTATCTGACTTTGGGTTGTCAAATATTTTTTGATTTAATTAAATAATAATAAAGAATTGAATAAAAATTAATCCATTTGTTTTTATAGAGTCTCATATAAATGTTTTATATTTTTTGGAATTTATTCGGTATATATATTATTTGTATTAAATTTTGAAAATCTTATATGAAATAAATTATAGTTATCAAATTATGATTTCATCATCATCATCATCTTCATTCTAATTTTAATTATTATCTTGATCATTTATTTTTTCATATATCTCCTCTGGCTTATTTTGAATTTAAACATCTGATAAACTTTCTTTTTCTTATTAGCTATTCTTTCTTTAGTTCTGTTCAACTGATTCATTCAATTAATTAAATTTCTAAGTATATTACTATATCGGTTATGACTATTCTTAGATTTAATTAGGAATATCATTCTCTTGAAATAATTACAATTTCATATTCAAACTCATGATCTAACATGTATCCAATAATTATTTTATCATCTAATAACCTTCTTAAGATTGTTAATCATAATTCAATTTATCTGATTCAAGCAGATTATTAGTTTCATTTCCTCTTAGATAGACCAAATCAATATAAAAATCATCATCAAATTATTATTGAAAATCTAAATCACTTCCTTTAAAACGAATGATATTTTTGAATAAGAATCCTGTATGGATCTAAAATCTAAATATAGGAATCAAATCATCTTACGAAGTAATATGTTTACATCTAAATACAATATCATTGCTAATTTATAAATTTGGAAGAATGAATATACATTGTTAATTCTTTTGTATTATTTGATTTTTCTCTTCATACAACACTCCTTTTCTATCTATTATTTAAAAAAATGGTTTGAAACTTTCGAATTATTTTGGAATTCCACTTAAGATGACTGATTTCACCTTAATTGTTTGAGTATTAAATTATCCATTAGTTAACAAATGAGATATGTATTAATGTATATACATAAGCTAAGATTTTAATGGTGAAGTAAGTCCTAAAGATTTTCCAATAATATAAAAGCTTTCTTAAATACTCGTTTTAAAAACAAGAGACCATAAAATTGAAAGTAGAATAGCACTCCTTCCTTTATTTTGTTAACAATGAACTATTGCTATATTGCCTTCATGTTGAACCCATTCTAAAATACATTTACAAATTAATAGTAATTCATAAAGAGGGGGACAAGCAAATCCAATATAAGAATGCATTGAAACTTAATTCTAGAATAACTCTCTCAAATAATCATGTTCACTCAAATTCCAAATATAATAATGATGTCCATATTATCTATTCAAATACTAAGAGACTTATAGAATGTATTCTTGCTTTGGGAAAGGCATCCAAAATACATTATCTGTAATTTATTATAAAGTTTTCATAAAATATTAATTTATGGATTATTAGAAACACCTAAAGATACTGAAAGAAACTTTGGATTAACATAAGATAACCCCAGAGAATTTAAGAGAAAAGAGAAAATCTATAAAAGAGTTTCCTAAGTAAATAAATAATAGAGTGATTGATGCTTTCTAATCATTTGCTCCTTTTGATAGAGCACCAGTGTGGATGATGAGGTAAATACATATAATTTATGAAATATAGATAAGCAGGAAGATATCTACCAGAATATAGAGAAATAAAGGCTGAAATGGATTTTTTTGCTACTTGTTAGAATCCTTTTATTGCTGCAGAAATAACATTATAACCAACTAAATAATTTGATATTGATGCAGCAATTATATTTTCAGATATTTTAGTATTGCCAAAAATGATGGGAATGGAAGTAAGAATAATCTTAAAAATAAGATTACAATAGAAGAAAAGAAAGGACCAGTAATTGCAAATCCTTTGTAGACTCCAGCTGATATTTAGAAGCTTCATCCTCCTAATCCAGAACATTTAGAACATGTTTATGATGCTTTATTCCTTACTAGATTGGCATTACAAGGAAAGTGTAATTTAATAGGATTTTGTGGTGCTCCTTGGACAGTCTTTGCATATATGGTAGAAGGAGGTTCTAGCAAACTATTTTCAAAAGTTAAGAAATGGCTTTATCTATATACAGAAGGATCATAATAAGTTTTAGAATTACTCGCTAAAGAAAGTGCTAAATATTTAATTAATCAAGTTAAATAAGGTGGAGCATAAGTTGTCTAAATATTTGATTCTTGGGCAGGGTATATAATTTTATTTTATTATTCAGTTAAATTCCTGCTATTGATTATATTGAATTTATTATTCCATCTTTGAGAATTTTATTTGAAGATTTTAAAAAAGAATGTCCTGATACTCCTTTAATTATGTTTCCAAAAGATTAAAATGATAAAAAAGTTATTGTAGAATTCTTAAAATTAACACTTAATGGAAAACCATTAATTGATGGATTTTAACTAGATTCTAATATTAGTGATGAAACACTTGTTAAAATTATTGAAGCTAATAGAACCATTTAAGGAAATCTAGAACCAGGAGTATATCTTATTTATAATTTAGGTACTTTATGGTACTAATGATATTATTAAGAAAAGAATTTCATAAATGATTGAAAAATTATAAACTACAAGAAGATATATTATCAATTTAGCACATGGTCTTACTCCAGATCATTAAGTTGAAAAAGTTAGATTATTTGTTCAAGAATCATAACGACAATCCAAATTATATAAAGCTAAAGAAATTTTAGAATGAGTTTCAATTCGTACAGTTATCTATTCAATTATTTTTTCAAATCATCTATTATTTTACGGCTTATTTTTTCTTTTATATAAAAATAATTACCCCCTTTCAAATTCTCAATATATAAAGCCATTAAAACAAAAATTTATCATTAAAAAGACAAACTAATTCAACAAGTTACATTCTATCACTTCACATTTACAACTATTTCTTAAAAGCCATGAAGCCCTGTAGTAAAAGAAAAATCAAGAAAAAAATAAAAAAACACATCATTCACATCATCATATTCAAAGAAGAGCATTTAAGTTCTCCTAAAAATACAAATCAATATCTCCTAACCAAACATATGAACTAAGAAATTTAGCAAAATGTTGAAATCAAAGAACCTGGTAGTATGTTATCCTTTTTATTAAATGAATAAAGACCATAATCTACAGATCAACTATTTTAACCTTCAAACTAAGAAATACTTATTACAGATTCCTCTGATATCATAAAAAGCTTAGCCTGAACATACACAAATTCCTATTGTTTAATGTTATTGTTTATTCTTTATATTTAGTTTTTAATATAATTTTATTAATGATGATGACTTCTCTATAAATTAAACTCAAGATATTAGTGTCTGTTATATAGACAATAATCATAAATGAAATAGAGTTGATCATTATTATACAATTAAAATTTGGAAATTCTTAATGAAACGTGTTTTATATATTTAATTTTTATTAAGTCAATTTTTAATTACAGTATAATAAATTTAATGATATCAAATGATCAACTCATTGTCATCTCTTTTAAGATTCATATTCTTTTATTTATAAAATACATATTTTAATCATTTTATAGTTTTAATTCAATATTAATTTGATGGCAAAAGAAATACTTTAATTGAAAATTCTTGTTATTAAAATTTTCAGTACAAATTGATTTTTGTTTAAAGTAAAAAAAAATTAATATTTGTTTGCATAATTATATATGGGTTGTAGTTCTACTAAAGGAAAAAGAAAGGGTTCATTATCTATTCCAAAAACTAGTATATTGAAAAAGCCGAGCCCACTTCATTAATTTTAATAAGAAATAGTTAATACTAAAAAGAAGACTCTCAGTTTTTAAATGTTATCAATAAATTCACAAGAAATACATAGAAAAAGTCTTTATACAAGATAGATTATTTCCGACTGAATTCGACTAGTAACTAATAAAGATGATTATATTTTGTCTATATATTGTAAATAATTTTAGAGAAATAAACAATTTTTATTCTTTCTTATTTTAAAAATATTTTCTCAGGAATATTTATTGACTACTTGACTATACATTTAGAATAGTCTAATGAAAAATTTTAAATAAGTATAACAACAGTATTGTTTACTTATTCGTAGGAATATTTAAGAAAAAGTTATATATTAACAAAAATTTTTAATATTTTTGAAATAAAATAAAAGAATAAAGAAATTTATGTAAAATTGGAACAATGAATATAATTACTTAATGTTTGTTATGAGTTTGGAGATTTTTAAAGAAATATATTTATAATTAGAAATATAAGTTAGTCTAAATTAAAAATAATTTAATTTATAAATAAAATTCCACTTCATAAAATGAACTACAAAGCAAGAGAATATTTGAAGGAATTAATATAATAAAATATTTAGAATTGATGAGTTGGGGATAGCCAGAATAAGTACCTTAGTAAGAATAATCTTGGGGTAATAATACATAATAATCAACATGGGGAAATAGTGAATAAACATGGGGAAATAATGGTGATTAAGGATAGGATAATAATAATAAGGCTGCTTGGGGAGATTCAAATAATGGTTAAGAGAATAAGGAATTTCGAGGAAGAGGTGGAAGAGGTGGAAGAGGAGATAGAGGTGGAAGAGGAAGAGGAGGGGATAGAGGAGGTAGAGGAGGTAGAGGTAGAGGAAGAGGTAATAATGATAACAAGGAGGAAGGAGAGATTAAAACTTAAAATGATGTTGGAGGAGGATGGGGTTAATAAACATAAGAAGGATGGGGTTAAAATTAATAAGAAAATAAAGAACAATAAGGAAATAATGGTGGGAATACTTGGGGTGGATAATAAGGAGAAGTACCTATTGAAAATGGTGGAGGTTGGGGATAATAAAATACAGAAACATAAGGATGGGGAGGAAATCAAGAAACAAATAATTAAGATGGTTAATAAGATGATTCAAGAGGAAAAGGAGGAAAAGGTAAAAAAAGAGATTCTCCTCCACCTGCTAAAAGAGTTAGACCTAATCCTATTGTTATTACAGTTGAAGATGATGAAGATAGTGAAACCTAAAATATTATTATTAATGAATATCCTTGCTTGTAAAATAAATAAAAAGGATTTATCAAAAGCGAAGAATAATAAATTTGTTTTGAAGGAAATATTAAAATTGATGAAAATATTATTAATACTCAATTTATTAGTTTTGACACAGAACTAAAAGTTAAAATTGAATAAATTGAAGATTACACACTTGAAAATTCTAAGGAATTGCTTAAGACTATTGGAGATTAAATTATTGTAGGAATTGTTTAAGGAGTTGATAAAGATAATTAAAAAGCTATTAACAAATTAGCAGATAATTTATTAGATAAATAGCAATCAATTCACTTCAAAGATGTCAGTCTATTTAGTATTAAATAATTATACAAGGGACAAAGCACTTCAAGACTAGCTTTTGTGAAGTAGATTTAAGCTTGAAAATTATGGATATTATTAAATATAAATATATATTTAATCTTCATTATTTAACTGGATGTTCATGATTCCACTCTTCATAAGATCCATCAAATAAAAGTAATCTAATAATATTATTTTTATTTTACTCTTTTTTCTTCAAGATTTCTTATGCCAGAAGTGCAATGCAACTTAATTTTCCTGTTTAGCAAGTGTTAACAATCTTTTTGGAAATATCAATTTAGTGATTTTTATATAACTTTTTTAAATTTTCTGTGGATTTCATAGTATGATCATCATTCAAATATTCTGAATAAGGCAAATTGTATGATCCAGGTATTGATCCTTTTTTATATCTTGGTATATCTCTTGCATCTAAAAGAAACCAATCATCACCTTTTGGGTCTTTATGTTGTTTAAGATAAGATATCACAGACACATCTTTTGTTGTCAATTAAGTAACTTAATCTTTTGGTTAATCCTCTTTAAATAAAAAGTATTCTTACACAAATTCAAATCTTCAAAAACTTTACAATCATCTTTATCAATGTCATGTTAATGATGCCATTTGTTAAATCCACCATCTAACACATAAACTCTTTTGAATCCAAAATACCTAAAAGTAAACCAAGCTCTAGCAGCAAAATGAATATGTTCATCAAAAAATACAATTGGAGTTAGATGATCATACTAATTCTCCTATATATATTTTTCAAATGTCTTTTAAGTTGGTAATTTACGTGGTACTGGAACTGGAGTTGCTGTAATGTCGATTAAATTAAGGGTTGATTAGTCTAATGTAATTCGATGAGCATGAACAAATTTATTATTTTCTTCTTTGTTATGGTGATGATCTGTCATGATTACATTAACAATTTTTATTTTGGATTTATTTTTCACTAAATAATGCAAATAGGGTGCAGATATTAATGATCCACGCATTTTAATATATAATTCATTAATTTTAAGGAATTTGAGATTAAATATCGTGTCATATAAATATTAGATATCAAATCAGATAAATTGAATATATTATATAAATTTTATGTATATAATTATTATGAATTTATAATATTACAGATTTATATATGATTATACTATTATTTATTTATTTCTTATAAGTTTTCTATACTCGATAGTTGGTAATATATGATAAGATTAAAGTCTAGATATTTTAAAATATGATAATTAAAAAGAATTTTAATCTTTTATCGATTTTCCTGTGCAAATATATGGATAATTTAATTATTAGAGTATGTGCATCAGATATCCTATATTAAAATCTGTATGAAGAATCTATAATTTAATGTTATGATTCTATTGATAATTCAAGAATTGGTTTCATTTCAGATAATTATTTACAGAGTAAGACGATAGAACGTTGAATTGAGTACAAAATATCAAAGTATATATAGATTGCCATTTTTTATAAGGGAGCAATTAAATGATCGAAAATTTTTATTTAAGAATAACTATTATTATAGATAAGATAAAATGAGAATTCGATAGCATAAGCAAATTTATCAATACTATTAAAATAATGATAATTAGTGAACATAAATGCATTGAGAAAGATTACCATATCAAATCCTACTAACTTATGAGATTATTTCTTTGAACAAATTTATTATTTATATAATTTATATTTATTCCATCATTCATTAATCTAAACTCGCAATTTTTATCAATATATTATAATTTTTTTGATTCTATTGATTAATTTGAAATCAAATTTTAGAAATAAAGCATCTACTATTAATTAAAGGAGAAAATTTTTTAAATTTAATAATAGTATTTGTTAATGATGATATCAATTAATTTTTTAAAAGAAGGAAAAATAAAGAAGAACAAAATTAAAATAATCGATATTTAAAGAAAGATATAAATTTTAGGATTGAATTAAAAGCTAATAGTAGACTGTCAACAATTAATAATCAGATAAACTAAAAAGAACTTTTCTAATTAGATATTAGAATGGTTGAAAAGCATATATACAGAAATTTGAAAGAATTATACTAGAGAGAAAGAAACAGGTTGTTTAATAATAAAAAATAGAGAAAAGAATAAGGCACTATTGTCTAAATTAAAAATATTTGATGTTTGTATTTTCTTGAGTTATATATTTGTTTATTTAGCAAATAGTTATTCAACTTGGATTGGAGTTGCCTTTATTTTAATAACCTATGAAGATGTTATTAGTATGACTCAATAATTCAAACAAAAAAATACTTTCTTCAATTATTACTCCTAAACTGAGGTTATGATTTCATTTTTATTCCAAATATTCATTATATAATATTTATATAAATCAACCTGAATAGTAGTAATTGTAACTCAATCTCTTACTTTATTTAATTATATTATATTTTTATTTATATTTTTAATTTTAATTTAATGTTAAAGAAATTAAGTCATTTTGTTCGTCTTGAGAACAGAGCCATTATTTCTATCAAAGGAAGAGAAGTTTGTGAAATTTTATAAGGAATTACTACGAATGATCTTCGTCTAATTTAGCAATCTTAAAGTACTCTATTTCTAGGTACTAATGGCAGAATCATTTCTGAGGCTATTTTGCATAGACCTTAAATGTATTATATAATTTTATTAGTCAAAAGAATGGGTCATGGTAATATTGTAACGATGAAATTTGGATGGATATTGATAGAGATCTTAAAAGCTCTATAATCAACCATATTAAGAAATTCTTAATTAGAAAAAAAGTTTCAATCTCAGACTATTCAGATTAATTGCAAATCTTTTAATTTTATGTAATTTATTTAATCTTATACTTAAGGGTCCTAATGTTGTTCTAGAAAATTAAGAAGGCGAACCTATTGTAGATCCTGAGAATGATTTATCTGAAGAAGGTGATTATAGAAATATTGTCGCTGTCGATCCAAGATCTTCATCTCTAGGTATCAGAATGATTACTAATGATATGCCAAATCTTTAATAAAATGATGTCAAAATCGAAAACTTAGATCATTTTGAAATGTCAAGATTAACTTAAGCTATTTTTGAAGGAAAAGAAGTTATCAATAAAATACCTTTCTAAGTTAATTTTGATTTCTGGAATTCTATCAATTTAAACAAAGGCTGCTATGTAGGTTAAGAATTAACAGCAAGATCATATCATACAGGTGTTATTAGAAAAAGACTCTTGCCATTTAAAATTGTCTCCAATGATAATACTGGCAATTTATAAGATTTGATCATCTCTCATGATTCATAGGAAGTTGGTAAAGTAGTTAAAAATATTAATAATTTTGGAATTGCTAATATTAATTACTTAGACATTAATTTGGAAAAAGAGTATTAAGTTGGAGATAAAATACTTTCATTAATATTATAAGATAAACTTCGAAGTAATTTAATTAAGTACATCGAACTAATCTAATCGAGAAAATCATGATTATTAATTAATTTATGTTAATTAAAATAAAATTAATATCACAACTTCCAAAAATAAATGACAAAAATGTCACTTTTGAAATTCAAAAATTTCATTACACACGAGAATAGAAATTGTTTAAATTTAATCAGATTCTAAAAATTAATATACAAAATTAAATAATCTCAACTTTGGAACTTAGGAATTTATTCAACAATTTCAATTATTATTTTATTACAATTTATCTAAAAATTCAATTTAATATAAATTATTAAATGAATCTAAATTATTTCTTAGTAAATAGTTAGATTACTGAAAAATTATTAAAGATATTCTTCTAAAAATTTAAGAAGAGTTAGTCGATGTTCCAAATTAACATCCAAATAGGATTAATAATATGTATTTCGTACAACAGCACAAAGTTATCAAGAAATCTCAAAAAGACTATATTAAAAAGAAAAAAAAAAATTATTAACTTTTTCTTTAGAAATTAATTTAATCTTAAAGGATCATGGAAAAAAAATAAATTTCCAAAGAGAATTCTACATCAACTTCTGGAATAGAATGAAATGCTCTTTTGAAATAAAAAATAAAAAACCTTATTAAAATTAATGGACTTAATAATTTGTTAAATATTTATTAAATTGAATATTATTAGAAGTTATTAACTTGAAATTAAAAAAACTCAAGAGCGCTTATATTGATACTTTAAGAAGGATTAATTACTTAATTTAATTTTAAATAAAAAAATTTTGAAATTTAAACAAATAGAATACAATAGAATCAGGTATTATTTTCAATATATCAAAAGATGGAAGTCATATTTAAGAATATTATTTTCTGTTCTAATATTAAAAGAAAGTTCCTTTATTGTACCGATTTTAGATGAAAAAATAATATCAGTTTTAAAAAAAATATAATTTGATGATAAAAATGGTTAAATAAGTTTCAAAAATAATAATACTTAAGTTTAAGACAAATATTTAATATTTGATTAATTAAAGTCTTGATGAAATTAATTGGATATAAGTTTTGTAAGAATAATTAAAAAGATTTATTTGATATCTTTAAATAATCTTATAATTTTAATGAATTTAAAAGAATAAACATAAAAGTTTTGTTGATCAATCAATTATATTAAGCGATAGAAGAATTTAAAAAAAGCTTTGATAAAATAGTAAAGTCAATAAAAAATTTGTATTTAAAAAGATGAAATTTTGAAGCTTTTAGGTTAAAAAAAGAAATGTTTTATAGATATATTAACATTAAATATTATTTTATAATCTTTATATAGTTGTAATGTGTTTAAAAAGGATATAATAAATGGAGATCTAGGAGTTGATTAGTATTTGCAAAAATGAATTTATAAAATATTAAAATGTTAGGATAAAAAGAGTATTCAGTTCCAAGTAGATTTCCATCATCGAATAGAAAATTCAAATTGAAAACTCTATCTCAGTTTGAAGAATCTTAATTTAATCGTAATCAAGAACTCGAACATCAATTAAAAATGGTCTCAAAATAAAATGAAAAGTATGAATGATTGTAATTGAATAAGATTAAGCTCATTAAATTAATACTTATAGTCAACATTAAATAAGAGAAATGAAGTAATCTTTGAAGAAAGATAACTCTATAAGACAAAATCAATAATAAGTCCATAAAAATCTAATTCAACATCAAAACGTTAATCACAACAATTTCATTCTAGGAAAAGCTCAATGCCTTACTTTACTTAGACAAGTAGAATGTAATATGTAGGAGAAGAGTTTTTTCGATTGAATTAAGTGTTAGAAATAAATATATCAGATGAAGAAGCCATCTCGTATTTTGAAAATGATCCAAATATCAAGTTTGTTAGATAACTTGATGAGGACACCTTCGTACAAATAGCAGAAGAATAAAGTATTTAAAGAATTTCTCATTAGATATTAAAAAGTTATTATAAATACATGATCATATTTTGAAGTTGCAAAACTTTTTAAAAGAAATGTTTGAAGCTATCCTAAAGTTTAAAAAAATTATTAAGGCATCATATTAAATGAATCAATAAGCATAACTTAATGATGCAATTAATTGTATAGTAGATCAAACTTAATAATTAATGAAGTTTTTATAAAAATCATGTCTTTAGTTGTGAAAGAGCCACCTGTTATATAGTGGATGAAACTAAAGGAGAAATTTGGTCTAGAGTTGCTTAAGGATTAAGTTCCATTATTCGAATGCCAATTGATACAGGTGTAGCTGGTTTTGTTGCTTTTAGAAAAGAATCTGTTAATATTCCTAATGCTTATGCAGATGATAGATTTAATAGAGAAAGTGATATTATCAATCATTTTAAAACTTAATCTATTTTAGCTGCACCAATTATAGGAGATAATAATTAATGTCTTGGAGTACTTCAATGTTTAAATAAGAATTAAGGAGTTTTCACTAATGAAGATTCAGCTTATCTCAAATATATATGTAATTTTAGTAAAACTGTCTTAAATCACTCTCTAAATTAAAATTAAGTAGAATCTACATAAAATAAATTAAGGCATGTAATTAAATACTTTTTAGATGTCATTTCAATTGAAGATCCTTGGAAAATAATATCTATTACTGAAAAAGTATTAAAAAAAATCATGAATTGTGAAGAAGCTAGATTAATTATTAAATTAAGTGATTCTATTTGTTTTATTAAAAATGGAGTTCAATCACAAATACCTAATTTCCTTGGCATTTTTTAAAAAGTTATAAATACTTAATGTAATGAATCAACACTTAATAATAATTCAAATCCTTTTTTCGATCCAACTTTAGATATAGATACTCAAATGCCAGTTATATGTATACCCATTAATTCTAATTCTGCATTTCAAGTATAAAATATGAAAGGAGTTCATAAAAAATAATCTCAACAGTAATCTATCCTCATTTATCTAGATCTCATAGTGCCTTCGTGTCTGGTTTAGAATTGGAGATGTTGGAATATGTAAGATCAATTTTGCTTATTAAAATAAAATGAAAGCTATCAATCAAAATTTATGCTTTAAAATTAATTTATAAAATTTTTAATTATTTATATATTAGTTTCTTTTATAAAGCTAATCATTAAGAAGGCTTGTATCTACCTTTTGTTTACTTGGGTTTTTCATCTGAATTTATATCCTAATTTCAATTATTTTAAGTACTTTTAAAATAGATGAATAAAATATTGTATTTGTATTTTAATTACTATTGACTTTTTACAATAGTTAAATAAATTTTGTATTGTTGTTAACTATTGTTTTTAATTTATTAAATTACCTTAATCAGACTATTAGTTTGTTTTTTATGTTGAACTTTCTAATAATTCATTAAATAGCTTTGATAATTTTTTCTAAAAATTCAAATCTCTCATCTTTTTTATAACAGTTAAATTTTCTGCTTATTAAGGTAGTTATTTATCTAAATTAACATGAAATAATACATTATTCTTAAATTTCAAATAATGTTGTCTCAAAAGCTTTTAATTTTTCACTATATTTATTTATTATAATTTTGAAAGGAGCTACATCCATTTAAGTTATGATATTATCAACGTTCTCCATAATATCTTTTTTGATATTTTAGAGATCATTTATTTATTAAGTAACAATTGATTTAAAGCTGTTGAGATTAATCTATTGAGGAAGATCATTAGAAATACTCAAAGAATCTTAACTTTTAGTTTATTATTTACCAAATAAATCATTTAGAAGAGACTTACTCATAATTTATAATTCATCTAATATTTTGTTTACTTATTATTTTGGATTCTCGTGATTCAGAGATTACTGTTGAATTACTCTTAAAAATTACATATTTTAACTGATAACATCTCCAACCTTCATAATAAAATCCTTTAACTCCTTTTTTTTAATGATTCCATCAGAGGAGCTTTGTATATTAGAGATATATTGAAGTTCTTTCGAAGTATTTTAAGTAAAAGTCTAAAATTCTTCATGTTCATCATCTTATCCAAATGTGAGCATTTTTCTTTCTAAATCATTATAACGAATTGGCACTCCAGATTAGATTGCATAATCTATTGCACATCTACTACACATTTATTATTAATTGATTTCATATTTCAATTTCTTTTTATGCATTTAACAAGAATTCAATTTAATTTCTGTCTATTGCTCTTCTTGTTTTTATCTAAGAAACAAACTTATAACACTTCCTTTGGCAACATTTGGAGTGATATTTCTATCCTATTTAATTAAATGATTTTGGAGAGTTGCTTTTAGATAAGATGGTTTAACAACATTTTCTTTATTGCTCCTGTTAGGTGAAGGGTCAGTTGTATATCTTAAATCTTTAATCTAAGATGAACAACTGAACTCTGTTTTTAAATAACTATTAGAAGGTTTACGAGTACTAGTATTTTGAATTTGATTCTTATGCATATATGTTAAAAATTAATTTATACTAAAAAAAATGAATTTAATCTACCAATGATGAAAAATTCATCTAAAAGTATCACTTTTCTTATTTCATTTAGCTTCCACTCTTAATTTATTTTTAATAAATCATCTGCTTGATACGATTTATTTTTTTCTTTGTTTTTTCTTCTCATTATCAACTTTTCCATCTCATTATTATTTATCAACTTTCTATATCGTTTTTTGGAATGATTTATATTTTAATTTTCAGATAATTCTTAAATACTCTCCATCTTTTTTATAACATAACCTAAACATTCATCTTATTTTAATTATTGTTTTGGCAATTTAGCAAATTGTAAATTTTTAGATAAAGTTATAATCTCTGCTTTTTTCTCAATTTATAAATTTTATATTTAGTCTAGCCCCAATTTTTAATTGCCAATTTTAATCTATCCTAACTATTTATTAGTTTCCAAAAAAATTTTCAATTCTCAAATATTATTTTTTGTAAATTTCTCTTCCTATCTTTATAATAATCTTTTAATTCATTCTTTACATCATACTTTTATATTATTTTACTTATCTATTTATAAAAAGTTCTTTTTTTATTAAGCCTTATTTTTTCTAAAAGTTCATCTTTTCTTTTTAAATTAAACTACTATTTTTTATAAAATTAAGTTTAATCACAAATTACTTAACTGACTAGAAACTAATTTATGAATAAGAAACACTTATTCATGAATTTTATAAAAGAGCTGTTTAATAATTTGCTTAATTTTCGAATAAATGTGATTGATGTTTTCAAATAGTATTTCTTAAAGAAAAAAGAATATCTACAATAGAGCCTGACATTTCTGCTTAAGGTTTCAGAATTGCATTTTTTATTTTTCTATTTATTTATAAATGCATTTTTAATTATTCTTGTGTAAAATTACTGATCATATATTATAATTTTTTGTTTGGATATCATAAAATATAATTTTTGAATCATTATATTCATAATAAGTAATTGATAATAAATCCTAAAATTCTATTTGCTTATTTTTCACAAAATATTAATGGCATTATGATATTTTGTAAATTATTCCTATATATGGAAAAATATAAGAAATTATTAGTACACTAGTTTTTACCTAATAATTATTATTCTGATGTTTCATCAGTATATTGACTATTTAAAACTCTATTAGTTAAAGTATCTAGTTAAAAAAGACTAATTGAAGATTTATTTTAGGAGGAAATTATTTTATTGAAGGCAAATTCAATTTTAGAATCAGAAAAGATTTATTTGAAGTGATACGCTTCTTAGATTTGATTGTCATTCAAAATATATTTTGGACATGTTTTTTTTTTAAAATAGGGCATTTTGAACTCTTTATATAGATTCAAGAATTGTCCTTATAAGAGTTTTGTTCATATCTTTTTATATGATAAACTTTAAGCTTCCTTTTTTCTTGAAAGAGTATTAAACAGATTTAATAAATTAAATTATGTCTCAGAATTTAATTTACAAATCATAGGAAGACATCCAATTTGATGAAGACTTAGAAAAAATATTTGATAAATTCATAGTTAAATTATGTTGTGCATTGTTGATGGATTTTTTAGGATTATTATTGATGTTTTTGGTGTTGGACTTTTCTTTTTCATCATATATATTTGGATTCAGTTTAGTAAATACAGTATTTGAATTATTAAAATTCAATGACATTAGATATCCTTTAAGAGGATTAGTGGGAGTATTGTGTATGGTTTTGAGCATAATAGGATTCCATATTATTGGTTCAATATTAGCAGGATTGAAAAATAGATAGAATCCTATAATTTACATGAAAGGTGCATTCAATCGATATATAGGGAAGATTAAAGAGGCAAAATTTAAAAGGAATTGATTAAGTAATTGTATAGAGCTTTATATATATAAAATGATTGTATTTTATGATGATTTTACATAATCAATTTGTAATTTTAGATTAAACATCTCTCTTATATTAGGTATTTTAAGAACCTACCTGGCTTGAGTAAATTCTATAGACATCATCAAAAGTGTTCAATTCTTCTTAGAGAGTTTCACTAACTGATTTAAAATGAGCCTCAGTATTAGATAAATCCTAAATAGAAATAGATATTTAGATAATACTTCATTAGCTAAATCAATAGAATTTTATATTTTCTTCAATCTTTCTTTGCATGCAGCTGTAGCTTATAAAATAGTGATCAATTGATTTTACAATTTTTCCTATTATATAAATTGAATGTATTACTAGATTAACATCTTCAGCAACTAAATGTCCTTTAAAAGTCTCATTTTCTTTATTAATCAAACCTTTAAAATCACTATATCCCATAGCTGAATTGACTTAATTATCTTATTTCTTAGCAAAAGTTCCTCTAACTTCATCTTCTAAGATGTCTAAGAAATTTAATAATTCTTATTAAGCTACAGTAAATTAAGAATAATCTTTTCCAGATCCTCCTGAAACAGGAGCCTTTTATCCTTTTTCTATAATTTTATTGAATGCTGCTGCTTCTTTTGCTAATTATTCATTTGTAGCTTTTTCTTCCGCTTCAAAAGGATGTTCAGGTACTGGGCTTTCTGGTTCTTCTACTGATAATGTTTCTTCAATTTCATGATCTATTGCTTCTACTCCTTCTTCTGGAGTTGCAGAAGTTTCTACATCTTATTCAGAATCTTCAATTTCTGTTACAGATGTCTCTTCTGGGGTTTCTGTTACTTCATCATAAACATGAGGTGGTTCATTATCTTCGGCTGTCAATTCTGGTTCTTCTCCATCATCACTTAAAAAGGATTTCAGTTAAATAAATTAAGCAGATTACAATAGTGTTGGTAAATCAGTCTTATAAATGCATATAATATATGATGTACTTCTTTAGCATTCTTTACAGCTCTTCTTAAGAAAGCTATTAAATTTAATGTTTTCTTTGAATTCTTTATATCATTTATAAAATTAGCATTTGATTCGCATCTATTCACATCCAATCTTTATAGTCTCTAATTATTCTCTTTTATTCTCTTCTCTAACCAACTTATATAGCTAAGTGTTATTCTTATATCACGTTCTTTATTTGCCCATTCTTAATCTCTTCTATTACATTCACCTCTTTATGTTGATGCTGAACGTTATAAATCTTTTACAATGTCTTCTTTTTACTTAACGAAAGTCATATTATATACAATACATATCTTGTTGCTGACCAATCACTCTCCAATTCTTATAATTGTTTTGTTGTTCCATTTTTTAAATCACCAAGCATCTTCAATACAACGTCTATTTCATTTTATTGACAGTACGCTCCTATCAGCAATAATGCCATTATACCAAAAACCTTCATTTTATTAAATTATCATACAAAAACGGTACATTTATTTAGTTTTAATTTATATTATATAAAATTTCTCAACTTTCCCTCCTCTCTATTTCATTACTACTCATGTTAATTTAAAGTTATCCTTTCACTTTCAATTTTTATTTATACTATTTTTTCATCTCTTCAAATAGCGTACATACTGGGTATATTTAATAAAATAATGTTTCTTAATTTATTAGAATCACTATTATAAAAATTAAATTTTTGAAATTTGAATATGCTTTTAATTATAAATCTTAACTTCCTTATCTTAAATAAAGAAAGCTGCTAGATAATTTCTATTAATTATTTTATTTTAGTTTAAAAGTTTTTTTAGTTTTGATTTTTTTCTTATTTCTAATTATTCATTACTCTAATCAATTTTAAAATATAATTATGGATTTCTTTTTTCTATTCTTTTATTTTTATAGCATTTTAAACTTTTTTTTTTAATATAATATAATAACTAAGACAAAAACATCATTTTCAGTTATTGTCCCTTATTTTTCTATTTTTTTAAGGTATAATGTCTCTTATTACTTAAAAACTTACTTCTAGATTGATAAAATTCTTAAATAAAAAGAATCCTGATGTTTTTCATTATTTTTAGTCTTAAATGGCTAAAGATGAAAATTAAAGTTAAGGACTTTTAAAGGTATTGTAATATGTTAATATAAAATACACTATTGCTCATAATCACTTATAAGGAATTCTTGAATTTGATGTAAGTTAATTAGATATTTCTAAAGTTTTTTCCTGTTTCATTTTTCTTCTTAGTAATAGCGTACTCTATGAAATATCTTCAAGTTTAAAAGAATATCTGTAAAAAAAATTCTTTCTTAAATGAGACTTTTGTTCACTTTTATATGAATTTAATTCTTTTTCAAGAGCCCTCTTTTATTTTATCACTGAGCATCCCATTTTTTGATTAAATTATTCAGATTTATTAATTTTGTAAGAACAAGCTTTATACTGATTAATATTGAGCAGTCATATTATTAAATTTGTTGTGGACGAAAAGAAGACCAAGAAGGCCCGGAAGATTAGGAATACACATCAAAAATCTGATTGATTTATTCTTTTAAATTCTTTTCATGGATCTTTTAATTAATTTATAATCAATATTTTATTCAAGAAGAAAGAAATAAATTTACATGCTCTAAAAACATGAAAAATAAATATTTACATGTGTTTTATCTAATATTTTATACAGAGAATGTCTTCTTTGTTTTAAATACCAAATTTCTAAAATCAATAAAAATTCTCATTCAAATTGACATGTCTGTTAAATAAAAAATCAAATTAAAGTAAAAAGCATACAAATTAAATCTTAACTTCTACTTTTTTACTTTATTAAATCGTTTTTAAGATGTTTCTAGTTGCTTTTTAATTTTTAAAAAGTCTAATGTTTCAAGTATTTACTTATTTATTTAAAAATAATTAAGAGAAATAAAATATTTTAAAAAAAACAAAAACAATTAGTTTCAGGACAATGAAAGAATTTATTGAAAATTAAGATATCATATATTATTGAGCTTCAATTTAAATTAAAATTTGATTTTGGTGAAATATTATAAATTGGCTTGTAAGCCTATAATTCTAGATTATTAAACCTAAAATATAAACTTAATCAATCCTATAATTCCTAATCCAAAATAAAATGTTATTCTATTATCATCTCACTTAATTCAGAATTTTAGACTCATTAAACATGAATGAAATCTAATATTTTATTGAGAAAAAAATAATTTATTAACTATTTTAATTTTTTCTCTTAAAAATTGCTCATGATTGAGCCTAATAAAAATAAGTAATGATAATAGTTTAGTATAAATAAGACTATTTTTCAAATTAATTAAAGCTTTATTGACTTCATTATCTTCAGGATTTTATTGATATTATTTATGAAATAATGCAGATTTATCAATTTAAGGTAACAATCTATAGACTTTTCAAAAATTCAAATTTTTAAATTATTGGGTAGCAATATGATTGAACTTCCTTCAAGAATCTAATCTAATGTGAATTACAAATAAATTTTAATTATTTTTAGTAGTCAATCAAACTCTAATATTTGTTCTAGATAGATTAATGATTAAAAAGAAGATTTTTATCTTTAAGTAGTTAAAAAAGTTGGAAAAGAACAATATGGAATAAAATATATAAATATTAATTCAATAATTATATAACTCTCATAAGGAATATGAGAGCAATTGTTCTTCTTACTAAGTAAAAATTTTTAACAGATTTGATCAACATATCATAAATCATGAATGCATATATTTATAAAAATGTTCTTGTAATATATTAACTTGATTCAGTACAAAAAATATACATCTAGTTAATAATTATATAGAGGAATTTTCCAATCATTCGGTTTAATTTCTTTTTATACAAGAAAATATAAATAAAGAAAGATGAATAAAATATCAAGAGGAAATTTTATTAAATCAGGAGTTTTTTCCTAATTAGATTCATAAAATAATAAAATTTCGATTATATTTTCTTCATTTTAAATGCTTCTATCAAACTAATGCCTAATGCCTGATAAATCTAAATAATTAAATTTTTTAAAAGTTCAATTGTGAGAGTTGGATAAATAAAAAAAATTTATAAATTATTTTAATATCACTAAAATATATAATTTCATATAATTAAAATTGAGATATTAGGTTTTAACATACTGATTAAAATAATGCGATTATACTTTTTTTAATTATGCAAATTATAATGAAATAACGAACTATCTTTAAGAACAAATAATCTTCTTTAGAGTAGTATTAAAATTATTCAATTATAAATAAATTTATAAATTAAAATATTTTAAGAGAGATCTTCAATGTTATATCGTTTCTTTAGAACATGAAGAACTCAATAATTTACTCTAAAACTATGAATGATTTAATTACATTAGATAAATATTAATAATCTAGGAAACTAGAATATAAACCTGCAGTATAAATTGTTGATTAACTAATTTTCTTATAAATCTATTGTAATTCTTATTTACTTTTTAAATAAGTTATTGAGGATTTTTAACTAGGAGCGATCTGATTATCAAAGATATTTTACATCAAATTCGTCTGATTATCTAGTTCTTTGAAATTAAGAATCAGGTTTTTATTCTTCATCAATTAAATTTAAAAGATTTTTATTACTCATAATTTAGCTTTCATTACTAATACATAATTTTTAAATGGGTGTTTAAAAAGGGCTTAATTAAAGTTAATCTTTTAGACCTTTATGATGTTATATTTTTTGAGATTTAGACATAAGTTATCGTTAGAACTCAGTAAGGTTTTTTACTTATTGTTACAAACCTGTTATTAGTTAATTTTTTTCTGTTAACTCTTTTTAATATTTGAGTACTTAGTTTTAGTATTTCTAAATATTATCATTAGTAATAGTAGATTTAATTTATGAATTTGAACCATTTAATTTGAGATCATTTTATTAATTTAGATCTCTCCGACTAGATAATCCTTTATCCAATAAGAAACTCTAATTTTCTGTGGCATTTAATTAATCTTTATATTTAGAATTATCTTCAATTAATTTAGAAACTGTAGAATTGAGCTTTAGTTTAAAAGTAGAAAAAATACTTTTTGTATAGATATCTTTAACTAAGCAATTTCTTTTGTATAATGAGCCCCATTCTCTTGAGCCTACTTTAATTCATTTATTCTTAATGAAATTCTATTTTACAATAGTGTTAATTCATTAGATAATTTTTTATTTTCCATCTTTGATCTATTATAAAGACTTTAAAGATCAAGATTATTCTAAAGTAACTATTAATGTTAATGAATTAGAAATTAATTATTTTATTCAGAATAATGTATTGCCTATTATAATTCCATATTGGATTAATAAGCATTATCCTATTAATGTTGATTCTAAAGTTTTTCAGTATTACATATCTACTCAAATTAATCAATATTATTAGTTGAAACAACTTTTTGGACCAATAAATTATCAGCTGACGTCTATGATGATCTTAAATTTATTCGAAATTATTTAAATACCGAAGAGATTTTGGCATAATGTAATAGTTATTAGAATGAATGTCTTCTGATGGAACTTTGTTATGAGACTATCTCTTTTACATTATTATTTATTAATTTTTATAAAAAAAACTATAAAATAAATCAAACTAATAGATGATCAAATTATTTATTTTAAATAAAAGTTCTTACTTCATGCAATTCATGAAATTATTATTTCTTTAAAAGTGATTTAGCTAAGACCATAAAATTTTTATATAAAAAAAAAGAAAATTCTTTATGTCTATTTTTTACAGATTTTTAAGCCCATTTATCAAATTCACATAAAGAATCGTCAATATCATAATTTGAAAATTTGATTACATAATTATTCCTTAATGTTGGTTCGCCAGGGAATGTGAGAATGAGATGCATAAGTAACACACCTAAAGCTTAAAGGCATTATTATTTATATTGTACTAAATCCTATTTGAATTACTTCTGCATATCTTAAAAATAAGAGTATGAATGATTAAGATCTGCCAACATCACCTCATTTATATAAGAATAGGTTTACTTAAATATCTCCAGTAATACTTTTAGTAACCATAATACTCTCAGGTTTAAGGTCTCCATGAATAATTTATTTTTGTTATAAATATTCCAACCCACCAATAATTTAAGATATTATTTCAATTATTAATTTGCTCTTTTATTCTAATGGCATAGGATTCATATAAAAATATGAATAACTCAAAAGGTTTTTAGTTTATGAGATATATCCTGGATAAATGCAATATTCAATTTAAGTATAAAGAAATAGTTATTAATTTTTTGATTCAAGCCACCAGTCATAAAGTCTGATAATATTTGGATGTGAGACACGTTAAAGGATACGTGCTTCTTGAATTGTTAAGTTATCTTAATTAGAACTTTTTGTATTAAATATATCTTAAAATGTAACATTAATAGGAATGTCTTACAATTAAATCTATAATTAGGTTGTTTTTTACTCTTTTAACAAAATAAATTTAATCATCCATTGGCTTATAGACATGATAAGTTGTGCTTTATTTCTGTTTATCAAATTCTTCATTTATAACAATAAATTCATTTTTGAATTTATGGTTTCTTAAAAATTATGTTTTATAGTCTTATTATACATTTAATTCTTTCTAAAAGCTGATATTAAAAAATGAAAGAGTTAATCTGGCTCGCTCATTTTTTTGTTCAATTGATATTTTCTTATTCAAAAAGCTTTCAACTATTGCTTTATTAATAAATATGAATGCTGTAGATTTTATTTATTAAGTTGATGTGATGAATCCAATATTTATATCTTAATAAAAGATTTTAAAAAGAGTTGATTATTAATTCTCTATTAGAAAAGATTAATTTTACTTTATATTCTTAGACTGATTAGAAGTAATTAATATCTTGAATTAGCCTTTTTTTAATAGCTTTCTTTATCGTTTTAACAACCATGGTGATATGTCTGAAAAATGGATCATCGCTAGAAAAATTAATCGTAATTAATGAAATAACAAGCAATTATTGAAACTAATTAAATTCTTCTGAAAGTAGGAAATCATTTTTTTCTTTTAGATTTTCTTCCTTTTTATATAGAAGATATACATTACAAGTGTTAACATGATTTTGTTTTTATCTGTATTTGGAATATCGACTTTTTCATTCTGTATTTCATCGAAAACCTCTTCAATATAAAAATTACTAGTCATCAATTCATCGAATTGCTAAAATCATCTTAAATATAAATTTACTTATATGCTTTTATACTATTACATTTTATATTATAAATAATATTTAAATATATATATAAAATACATAAATTAAATTCAAATGCTCATTAAACTTCTTCTACTATTATTATTATTCATGTTTTCATTTGAAAATTAATCTGGAATCCACAGAACTAAATTTCTACAACCACTAGCCATTAAAAAATGAGTAGGACAGAATTTAACAACTTTACATCTCTTTTAATGACCTTCTAATCTAGCTATTTAAGTTCCTAAAGGAAGACTCCAAATATGTATGGTTCCTGTTTCACTTCCACTTATTACATAATTACAATCAGGAGTAAAACCAGCCTCTATCATTGATCCTTGGTTACTAAAATCACTTAATTCACAAATCTAATTATATAAACTTAATTATTTTACTGTATCTAATGTATAAGCATCTAAAATTAGTATTGTACCATCTCCTGTAGAACATAAAATATATTTGTTGTTATTACTAAATTTAATACATTTCACTTAACTAATATTAATCTTTTTGGATTAAAATGATCCAGAATGATATTTTTTAAAATCATATAAGTATAACCAATTATTTGATATACAATAATATTATTCCAAAAACACTACCGCAAAAACATATCCTGATGGATCAAATGCAGCTACACAAAATGTTTTTTTAGCAGATAAATCTAATAAACCGTCACATGTTTAGTATTCAGATGCTAAATTCCATAATCTTAATGTTCCATCCATACTACAACTTAAAAAATCATCTGAGACAGGTGATAAATCTAACCAATGTATTCTATTAGATAAGTAATTTATTTAAATTTTACATGTTCGTATGTCCAGTGAACTTTTTTAATATTTAATTATCATGTAATGACCAATAATAAATATCATAAGGCTCTTTTTTTGTAACACATAATACACATGAATTATGATGTGTAAATTTTACAAGATCTATTTCCTTTGCCTTATTGTATAGTGTTCTCATTTTCCTATTAATCAAATAAATAATATAATATACTTTCCCTAATGTACATCGTATACATTTAAAGCCTAATCATCACAAGAGACCAAATATTACCCGTCTTTTGAAAAATCAATAGCATTTATATCTTTTTGCTAAATTTTAGAAATACAAACTTACATGGTCTTTGAAGATCTTGCACATTTTCATAGATTACAATTATTCTGAAGTAATCTCTACTTCCTATTCTTCGTGCATCATTTTAATAATATAAATTTATTATAATAAAGATGATATATATTTTCAGATATAGAAATTTTTAATCATTAATCTCATATAATGAGATTCCATTATTCATCAACTTGATTATTCATATTAATATATATATATCAGATATTGCCACATTAACATCAAACAACAATCAGACGGTAATTCCATCTACATTTATTTTCATCACAAAATAAAAAGTTAATTAAATAAATATCTGAATCAATCCATTAATTCGCTTTTAAACATAGAAAATAATTTAAAAAACAAAAAGAAATTAATAATTACATCAGCAACATCCTCCACCATTTTACGGTTAATTTTATTATTTTTAATTTAGATTATTGTTCTGATTTTATGGTTGCTACTATTTCATGTTCAAAACTTGTTCACAAATTTAAATAAATAGTTTATCTACATTTTCAGATGTTTTGGCTGAAGTTTCCAAAAATTGAGCATTAAACTATCTTGCTTTTTCTTGGCCCTCCTATTTACTAATTTTTCTTTTATTTGGTATGTCAGCCTTATTTCCAACAATTAATTTTTACACTGTTTTTCTTCCATACCTTTGAAAATGATTAAATGCTAAATACTTATCAATATCCTCAATCCAACTATCAACTGCATCAAATGTTGATCTTTCAGTTACATCATACACAATCACTACTCCATGTGCATCTCTGTAGTAATTATTTGTTAAAGCTTTAAATCTTTCCTATCCTGCAGTGTCCCACTTAAAATAATTTTTATTAAATACAATCTGTAATTTCACATCTTCATTCCCTATTTTTATTACTCTAGTTTTCTCTAAATAAAATTTATTTATACAAAATCTACACCAATAGTATTGTAATATTATGATGTAAAATAATTTTCAGAATACCTCATTAAAATGCAAGATTTTCCTACGTTGCAGTTTCCAACTATCACAACTTTTATAAGGGTATCACTATAATCTAAATAAATAAATACTAAGTATTGGAATTTTTATTCATTTAAGGAATTATGAAAATTAAATAAATAATAAACTTTACACATCAGAAGCTTTTTTTTTATTGTTATTTTAATAACTTAGTATTTTTTTATAAAGTATTATTTATGATATTGCTAAATATTTAAAGAAAGAAATTAAGATTAAAAATAATAACTACAATTATTAACATTTTTTAATAAATTCAAAATTTTTATACAAGATACTTACTGAAGAGTTCATAAACAAGAAAAGTGATGCTATTTGAAGGTAATACTCTAATTAAATCAGGTATGAGACCTTTATAAAATCCTTTAAATGAGTCTTGCTCATAAATAGTTTTACAAATATCAATAATTTTGATTCTAGAGCTAAATCCATTTTTATATATAGTTTTATTATCATGTAATCTTGTTCGAATTACTACATGAGGATATGTTGCAATTACAGCAATAGCTAATTTAAATATTGTTAAAATAAATTATACATTTAGAAAGTATTGAAGCTTTAAGAATATCAATTGGTGATAATTATCCATTCTCATCAATATAATCTGTTTTTAATTTTTCATAAATTGGAAATTAAACAGCAACATGAGATAATCCTAAAACTGTAGCTCCCAAACCCTTAAATAAAGAAAAAAATCCTTCCTAAAATTAAAAATTTTTAAAATACTTCTTTATACATAGCTAGAAGTCCACCAAATACTGATTTATATTTTACATGATTATGATCATGCAAATATTCTGTTTGCATTCTAGTTCTAATTAGCTAAAAATAATATAACTAAAAATATACCCATAATGGATTGGTTATTAAATCACATAAAAATCCAGTTAGAACAGTTGCAATAGCATGATTATAAAAACCAGATATTTAATATTTGATTTCCAATATTTCCTTGTTCCATTGATATAAAGGAAAGAATAGAGAATGAAATAAAGGATTTGCAATAGCAGTAGCTCTATAACCTATTTTAAAATATTAAATGCTTTTATTACCTTTATAGTAACCATAAATTCCCTCTTCTTTAAATATTACATAAAGTGTGTTCAGAAATCCACTATATTTATTAACAGATTTAGTAGCATTCTTAAATTGTATATTTTTGATACCTGTAAGTTTAATCTACTTCTAGCTACTTCTAAAGGATGACAAACAGTTACACTAATAAATCCACCTACTAAACCAGCAATAAAATGATTCCAATAAAGATTTCTTTATTTATCCTAATTCATTTTATTTTAATATTATTTAAATTCAAAATATGAATATGAATGACAGTTTCTTCGACAACATAGAAGTTGTGAATTAAAATGTAAATACCTATAGTAAACCATAAACCATTTGTAAATCTTTGGAACGCTCGTTCGCTATTTGCAGTAATCCAACTAAGTATGTATGCCTTTGAAATTTATAATTTCAGCAAAATTATTCAGCAACAAACTTAATTTCATAAAGACATAGCTATATAAAAACATCAATCTTATAAGCTAGATTAATTCTTAAAGTAATAAACAAAAAGTTCATAAAACAACAATTAATCTAAAAGCTATCGTAGCATTAAATAATAAGATTACAATACTAACAATATAACTTAGAATCCATAAAGTAAAAAAATTACATATATTTAGAATCCTATTTGAAATAGTAAATGAGATTAAAAATAAACTTAGAAAATGATGCTTATTAATCTAATTTAAGACATAAAACTTAATCTTCACATAACACAATAAATCCATATTAGGCATCTCTAGCTACTTTAATGAAGCAACAAGTAATTTATAATCTTAATTAATAAGATGTAAAAATAATAATAAAGTTTTGCCAACATCTGTAAGACTTTAAATGATGAATCTAAACCAAGAATTTCCTCCACACATAGATAATCTATAATTCCTTAAAAATTAACACAAAGATAAGACTCCTTAAATATAAGAAAGAGTAATTCATTCTATATGCAGGAATTTAGAAAGGTTTTTAGTAAAGGTAAATATAGTGTTCACAACAATATTTGAATTAAATATATATCTCTATTTCAATTATAAAGATTTAAATTTAAATCAATATTAGTATTTTTAAAATACTTGTTATTAAGTTCGAACTTCCACTTAAATATTGATTAATATATCCGTCAAATTATTCACTAATTTTTAAGTGTTTTTTAAAATATTTACAAAAAATCATAGATATAATTTTTATCATGCCAAATATATAAATAAATTCATATTCTATTGATCTCTTTGTAGATATTCCTTTTCTGTTAACACTTCAATTTGTTATTTTATATCAACTACTTTTATTGGCAATCCCAAATCTTTTAAAACTAGATTAACTATTTCTTAAAGTGTATGCTATTTATCTCGTTTCATAATTTTAACTATTGAAGCATCTATAACATATTTTCGATCATGCAATAGTTTTTGTGTATTTTCCTCTATTTCCTCTTTTTTTTCGATTTTTTGCATTTAATTGATTTTAATGTGGGTTTTCTTACTTTCAAATTGATTATTCACAAAATACATTCCCTAGTCTAGTAACAATAATTTTTCTTTCTCAAGCGGTATTAAATTTCTAATTATTTCATCCTTTGATAATCCACTAATTTGTATGAGTTCTGTAATCTTATATGTTTATTAGTTATTAAAAAAATCTAGAATCATAGCCTAAACAGCAGATACAATAAAAATATACTAATATGTATAAAGTAAAATTATACCTTTGTAAAACCTTTAACATAGCAATTACTACACTCTAACATCCATAATAAAATCTTCTACTTAAATTCTAATTTTTAATTCTCTAAAAAATACTCTTGCTGTTCTTTCAAGAAATTTTTAGGAATTTGTTATTATTTCAAGGTCCAAGAATTTTATGAAATTACAAATAATTTCACTTCCACTCCTAAATACTCATATTCATAGCATTTTTTATATTCTTTTAAAACTTCTTCAGCTTTTCTCACATATTAATCTCCACACTACTATTTTAATTTTAATAAAATTTATGTTTCTAAATCTTAAGAAATTGATAATTCTAAAAGCAATCTTTTTGTCATTCTTTAAGTATAAAAATGTTCAAAAATGTCTTTTGCAGAAAAGTATGGCATAAGTTCTAAAGATTTGTTAATCTTATCTTATACTTTTTTTAAATCCTTATTTTCTTACTTTTTAATTAATAGTTAATCAAAATAAGATGATAATTATTCAGACAATTAATTTACTTTCAGTTAAATTGATGTTTCAATAGCACTAGATAAACATGTTTTAATTTTTTCATCATTTTAAAATATCTCTTTAACCTTTTACTCATAATAATCTTTTGCTTCAAATATATTGGCTATTATTTATTATTTATTTTCATCATTTATAATTTTATTCATACCTTCATGTACTATATCAAAACTAATATTAAATTATAATTATATACATTTTTCCTTTTAAAATGTTGCTTTCTATTATTTAATTTAATTCATAAAATGCATTCATATATGAACTATTTTCAAGTCGTATTGGGGAGTCGATAAGAGACTTTTCAATAACTTTATTAAAATACTCCCTTAAAGAAATCCCAAGTTATGTATCTGAAAATAAATTAATTATCTTCTCTTCTATCAGATATTATTTATAAATAATTTCAATCGATTTAAGCTTATTATAATAGTTTATTGAATCTTCTAACAAATATTATTTAAAATCTGAGCAAAATTATGAACTTTTAATGAATAAAATAATTTATTTTAATTGCTCATCAAAATTTTCTTACCTCAAGATCAAAAATTAGTTTAGAAATAAAGGTAATAATTTATCTTTAAGTGAATAAACTTTAGTTGAGTAGATTTAGTTAAGAAGCTTATTGATTGAATAAGTTTGAGATGATTCTAATATCTTAAAAATTTATTCAATTAACTTTATTTTACTTTAAATAAATAAATGCTATTCTAATATTTATGTACAATCTTGAAATATTGTTTAGGTTTAAATGGTGTTTTAGAATTCAGATGTTAGAATGTTGAATATTTATTAATAATTTTCCTGATTTTATTTCAATTTTTAGTTATAATACAAATAAGGTTTTGATATCTCTTTTTCCATTATTAAGTTTTGTATAAATTGATGAAATTCTCCTATATTATCCTTTTCTTAAATCATTAATTTTAATTATATTAATAATAAAAAATATTAATTTTTCCAATATAAAATTCTAAATCTGTTTTTTGGGAGTGAATATAATAATGGGTAAACACGGAAAATATAAGTAATTTTAAAAGGTTGTGATTTTATAAATAGTAATGAAATATAATGTAAAACTAACAAATAAATAATTTTATATTAATATCAATTAAATAATGAAGAGATAAAAGAAATCGACGACAACAGTAGATATATATTATTTGGAATGCCTAATTAATAAATTGATAAGATCAAATACAAATAATTCTATTAATCCTTAAAGTTTAAGAAATCAAGTTGATACTCAATTAAATGTACCGAAACGAGCTACTTTACGTAAGTATGATTATGAATAAAATTAGATAAATATCATCCATAATAAATTGAAAACAAAATATAGGCCAGTTCTTTATATCAACAGAAAAAATTGCATGTTCATTCTAGACCTTTTTCAGAAGGCTAAAGTAGAAAATTTCATCAAATAAATATGGAAGATTAATCAATATTACCATAAAAAAGCAATCTATTAAGATAGATAAAGAATTAAATGATGTTTCCTCGACAATAATTATGGAGCAAACAAGAGAGTAGAGAAAATAAATAGCAACCCGAAATAGTTAATCCACTAACAGTTTCAAAAAAGCCAATAAAAATATTTACTATAAATTTAAAGTCTTCTTTTAAACAAGTTTCAAATGCTAGCAGATTGAATACAGGATTGAATCTGAGCAACCAACGAAATTTCTCTCCAATTAGAACATTCACGGAAAGACTTTAAGCTGATATAACTGGTTGGTAAACAAAAGAAGATGTAGAATGGTTATGAATTTCTTATAATCATTTTGTTTATAAATAATAATTATATAATGGGAAATTAATGGATTAAAAATTATGATATAGACAAAAAACCATATCTCACAGGTGGTTAAAACTCATTATGGTAAAGTAATGAAAAATAGAATTAATATAGTTCATAATGCTAAGAAACATAAAGAAGAGTTTTCTGTTTTTATATTTGATAAAAGAAGTGTTCATAAGATTGTCAAAAATGAAAAAGAGAGAGAAATGATATATGCCACTTTAAGAAAAGAAGGAGAAAGGCTTGCCTCAATTAGACATCCATGTATACTTTCAGTAATTGAACCACCTGCAGAAGATCATAAAAGAATTGTTTGTGTTACAGAAAAAGTTATTGGTACCTTAAATTCTATTATTAAAAGTAAAATTCAAGTTTATATCTAGATGATAAATTGAATTCATGCAGCATAATGGACGTGAAATTAATTATGTTATAAATCATAGAAGGATTAAGTTTTCTACATAATGATGTAAAATTAAATCATTTAAATCTTTCACCAGATAATATATATATAACTATTGAAGGAAAAGTCAAAGTATATGTTCTATTTAAATTTAGATAGGAGGATTTATTTTCAGTTAAGCAAATCCTATGGGAAATTCAATTAATGTTGATATTGATTTAATTCCTAAACCTTATGATAAATAATTATAACTCTATCCAGATTTAGCTTTTATGGCACCAGAATTAACTTTAAATCCATCATTAGGCTCATTTCAATCAGATATATTTTCATTAGGATTGATGTAAATATATAATAAATTACTTTAGTTTGGCGGGCTTAATAAGGTTACAGTTAACTGGAATGAAAGACTTAACTTTATTCTAAATTACTCACATCACCTAATATTAATCGAGTTTTGATTGTCTCTAACCATTTATCTAAAAAAGCCCATTTTTTATTTAAATTTAAGATCAATCATTAAAAGATCTTATAATCAAGATGTTAAGTAAAGAATTAAACTAAAGGCCTGTTATTATGGATATATATCATCATGAATTCTTTTTAGATCCTTTAATTCGATTGATGCATTCTCTTAAATAATTTCAATAATTCGAATCTGATCAATAGGCAGCTTTACTGAAATAAATCTCAAAAAGCATTTATAAGGTATATATTGATAATATTTATGAGTTTGAAAGATAAGTAATCATTAAAAATATCTTACCAAATATTATGCCGTTAATAACTAATGAAAAATTGATGTAACATGTTATATTCATCGCAATCGATGTTTCTAAAATGCCTGATTAAGTTATTCAAGATAAGTATATTAATTTATGTTGGAATTACATTAAAAAGGTTTCTGGATTATCATGTATGCCTGCTCAAGCTCTTTATTGTTTGGTATAAAACATCAAATAGTTTTATGAAATTAAAATACCTGATAATGAAATTCAAACACATCTAGTTCCTCTATTTGTAAAATGTTTTGAATCTGATGTTGCTAAACTTTAAGAAGTTGCATTAAATTAAACTCAAATGATCATGGAAAAAATTGAATATTAATACACAAAAAATAAAGTATTCATAATGTTTAATCTAAGATTTTGCCTAGATTATTATAATTATGTTTGGATTCATCCAATAAGGAAGTTAATCTATTAGCACTATAAGTATTGAGCAAAACTTAACACATATTTGATAAAATTTCTATTTCTGATAATATTTTACCAACTTTAGAAAAGTTTAGAAAAATCACAGCCCCTACAAAAATTTAAGCTTAATTATTATTAGAAATATATAAATCATTTTTACAGCATCTAAATTATGAAGTATTTATATATATAAAAATAGCAAATTGTAACTAGATTACTTCCTTAATTATTACCTTATATAATTGAATTAAATATTGGGAAATCTTTAATATAAAAATATTCAGAATTACTTTAAAATTTAATTTAGAAAATAGCTGTAGAAAGAATGTCATGTTTACCTGAGGATATTGATGAATAATAATAATAATAGTAATAACAGTAATAATAGTAATAATAATAGTAATAATAATAATAATAATAATAATAATAATAATAATAATAATAATAATAATAATAATAATAATAATAATAATAATAATAATAGTAATAACAATCATAATAATCAAATCTATAATTTTAAAAACAGAATTCTCTTGAAAGATCAAATAATAGTTGTTAAAATATTGGTGAATTTAATATTGATCAACTTTAACCTCTATCTTTGTAATAAAATAAATCAAATAGCAATTTTTCCCCAACTGTAGCAGGTATACCTTAAAATGGAATTCTTGAAATACCTCAATTAAATATTGCCCTTACTCCAATTTAATAAGGTTAAGTTTAATATTCAATTCAGAATAATACTTAAAATTATAATCCGCTATCAATTGGAATTCCGTAAGATAATTTTCAATAAAAACCTTTACATTTTGATTTTGCAATGCCATTCGATCATTCTGAATAATTAAATATTCAATCAAACATGAACTTATTGAATTAAGATAGTTTTCAATAGATAAATTAATAAAAATAATAACCAAACAATCTTCTTCAAATAAATAATTAATTGATTAATTTTGATAATCCATTCTAAAATAATCCAGCATAGTAATAAAAAGGGTTTATTAATAAATATAAAGAATTTGACAACATCAATCTTTTAGATGAATAATCTCCACAATAATAATAATAATAATAATAATAATAATAATAATAATAATAATAATAATAATAATAATAATAATAATAATAATAATAATAATAATAATAATAATAATAATAATAATAATAATAATAATAATAATAATAATAATAATAATAATAATAATAATAATAATAATAATAATAATAATAATAATAATAATAATAATAATAATAATAATAATAATAATAATAATAATAATAATAATAATAATAATAATAATAATAATAATAATAATAATAATAATAATAATAATAATAATAATAATAATAATAATAATAATAATAATAATAATAATAATAATAATAATAATAATAATAATAATAATAATAATAATAATAATAATAATAATAATAATAATAATAATAATAATAATAATAATAATAATAATAATAATAATAATAATAATAATAATAATAATAATAATAATAATAATAATAATAATAATAATAATAATAATAATAATAATAATAATAATAATAATAATAATAATAATAATAATAATAATAATAATAATAATAATAATAATAATAATAATAATAATAATAATAATAATAATAATAATAATAATAATAATAATAATAATAATAATAATAATAATAATAATAATAATAATAATAATAATAATAATAATAATAATAATAATAATAATAATAATAATAATAATAATAATAACCATAATAACCATAATCGGTTAATAGCCTACAATTATCAGTTGATCAATAATTAAACCAAGAATAAAATAATAATTTTAATTAAGAAAAACAAATGAATATTAACATCAATTTTGATCCATTTTCTAGTTGGGGGAAATTCTGATTTTTATATACAATCAAATAATATCTATTATCAAAATTATATTAAATATATTTTATAATCTCAAAATCCTGCAAGTTTTGTCACATCATCAAAATTATTAGCCACGTACATAAAATTACTCTCATTCAATCCATAGATTGAAATGACTCCATTAATCATTTTAGTTTTATTTCCTAAAAAAAAAAAATTATGAATATTAATACAATATACAAAATAAGTTTTAAATTTATATTACCTAAATAAATTTTTATAATATATTAAATATTATATAAAGATTTAAATAATAATTCAATATATACACGTATTCATTCATTATATTTTTGTGAAAGTAATTTCCTAAATGGATTAAAAAGAAATAGACTAAATTTATAATATACTCCAATTATTTTTTCTCTAAAATTTATAATTTATATATTCAATAACGTAATATCTTTATCTTGTTATTTATACAATAAAATTGGATTAAGAATTTTAAAACTCAATTGCAAGGTTGTTCATTTTTTAATTTTAGTTGAAAAAAGAAAAACAAAAAAAAACTTATTTAGTTAATATAAAAAAATTAAGAATTATGAATCTATTGTATTTTTTAAAGGAATAAAAAAAAAAATTTCGATTCTATATAAAGAATTTATTACAAATAAAAAAATATAATAATGGATCTTTGTGTATTTGGGGTGGATGATGGCTACGCAGAGGCAATAATAAGAGGTCTTAGAGCTAGTTTTTTGACTGAAGCTTAATATCAATAAATGAAGAATTGTGCTTCAATTCCTGAATTAAAATCCTTTTTAGAGGAAACCGATTATCAAGTATTAAGAGATATGAAAAATAGAATTGTTTATAAGCTGATAATCCTTAGATTCCAACTTCAATATTGAGATAAAGGTTAAAGAAGAAATTGGCTGATGAATTTGAATATATAGAAGCATAATCCACAGGAATACTTACAAAGTACTTATTCCATTTAAGGTAAAATATTCAATTAAAATGATAGATGCCGTTTTATGATAGATAATGTAGTAAATATGATAGAAGGATTGAAGAATAAAATTGATATTGAAATATTATTGAGTAATATAGATCCATTAGGTTGGTTTCCTGAAATAAAAAATATTAAAGTGTTGGAAGGAGATGATTATAGTAGTTTATATAGAGATGTTTTAATTGATACACCAATAGGAGTGTATTTTATGAAATTTTTGGAAGAATCAATTGAAAATTTGCATGAAAATAGAACATTGAATGATATTTAGAATTTATTTAGAGAAATGAAACCAGAATATATAAGAACATCACTTAAGAAGATGTGGTTAGAAGATTTTTATTCTTTCTGCGAATCTGAAGTATAATGAAGGAATATTAATAAATAGTTGATGCCCACTTCTTAAGAAGCATTATTAGAATTATTAAAATTTGAAGCAGATTTTAAAACAGTTTAGGTGATTTACAATTCAATAGGAAATAGAGATTTGAATACAGCTGCTAAGATTATTACAACAAGGAAATAATTATGTCCAACAATTGGAAACTTATACCCAGATTGTGAAAAAGTATATTTATAGGCAATGACATTGGATGCTTTAAGAGAAGCAGTGAAAGGTTGTGATAATTATAGAGATTTATTGAAGGATGCACCTGATCCTTTAAAAAGAGAAGAGTTTAATGTATAAACAAAGTAATTAGAATATTGTATAATTAAATTAGAACTCTTGATGATATTATGTATGATGATGAATGTAGACGTTATGCTCTTTCTTTTGATGGATAAGGATCATATGGAGTATTTTAATATACAATCTTTAGGTGTTTTATGCCTATTTAAAATTGAAAGAATAAGAAATCAGAAATATTATTTGGTTAGCTGAAATGATATCAAGAAAACTAGCCAAAAACCATCCTGGATGGAAAAAAATAATTATACCTTTTAGTCATTTAGGAAAATGAGCATTTATAGATTATATATATATATTATATCTAAACAATGTTATTTGATACAAAAAAAGGATGATTATAGATTTGAATTATTTGATTAAGAATAATTAAAAGACTTCTAGGTAAATTAACAGACAGGGTGTCAGAATACACGTGTATATTAGAGGGTGTTAATTTATTCTAGAATATTTATTGATTTTTATTAATGATAAAATACTTACTCCTTTGTCTCTTGGCAATCATTGCTAATGGTGCAGTATTAGGAATTGATTTTGGATCTGAATTCATCAAAGCTGTTTTAATAAGTCCAGGCAAATCTTTTACGATCATTGAGAATACTACAAGCAAACGTAAAACAGAAAATGCTGTATGATCAATAATATATGCTTAAGATTGCATTTTATAACAAGGAGCGTTTATATGAGAGCGATGGTGCTTCTAAAAAAACTAAATAACCTAAAAATACATTTACATTCTTAAACAAATTTTTAGGAGCATTAGCCAATGACGAAAAAATCGTAGAAATTTCTAAATAGTCTTATGAAGATTTTAAAATAGAGATTGAAGAGGTAAAGTTATAAACAACTTAATTTTAGAGAGAAGGAACTTTTGCCTTTTAAGTTGATGGTGTAGAGGTAGAAGGAAAAGACACTATGATTGTTAAGGTAGAAGAATTAGCTGGAATGATTCTTAAATTTATAGCTAAGTTAGTTGATTTCAATCATTAAATCTAAATCAAAGATGTTGTATTAACAGTCCCAAGTGAATGGAATATAAGTTAAAGATCGTAATTTAAAATTTAATATTTTTTTTTAGAGCATTAAAATCAGCTGCATAGTTAGCAGAATTAGAAGTCTTAGGAATTATTAATGAAAACACAGCTGCTGCCTTATATTATGCTCTTGAACGTTAAGATGAGAATAAGCATACTGCTTTATTTTATAATATAGGCTCATATAATATACAAGTTTCTTTAGTAGAATTCTAAGCTATTGATGCTCAAAAGAAAAAGATTGAAACATTAAGAGTTCTTGCTGATTATTCAGTTTCTAATGTAGGAGGATAATCTTTAGATATTTTATTAGCAAATCATTTTGCCAAAGAATTCGACAATTAACCATCAAGAAAAGGAAAAAAATCCATTTTTACTAATTCTAAAGCAATGAATAAATTATTGAGAGCAGCTAATAAATACAAGGAAATCTTATCAGCAAATAAAGATACTTAAGTTTATTTGGAAGGTTTAATTGATGGAGAAGATTATAGTACATCAATTTAAAGATCAACTTTTGAGGCATTATTTGAAGATAAACTTCAATAATTAACTGATCCAATTAATTATGTATTAGAAAAAAGCAATAAAACAAAAGAGGATATTAATATTGTAGAATTAATAGGTGGAGGCATTAGAGTTCCAAAAATCTAATAAGTGTTATCAAATTATTTTGGAAATGTAGAAGTAGGAACACATTTAAATGGAGATGAATCTATGGCTTTTGGTGCTGCTTTTCATGCTGCCAATTTATCTCATTCATTCAAAGTTAGACCAGTTTAATTGACTGATGGTTTTAGTTTCAGTAGCTCAATTGAAATTAATGGTGTTAATGAAGATGATTATCATAAAGAATTCTCATTATTTGGATATAAAAAGAAATATGGAAGTACTCGTTCTTTAGAATTCTCATATGATAAAAATTTAAGATTAGACATCTTTGTTGAAAAAGATGGATAGAAATCTCAATTAATTTCATATCATCTAAATAATATTACTAATGCAACAGAACTTAATTTCAGTAAACCAGAAATCTCACTTACATTCAAAGCTACTTCAAATGAATTTATTAAACTAGAAAGTGCAGAAATGAAAGTTGAAGAAATTAAACTCATTGAAATTAAACCTAATGTTACTACAACTAATACAACTTCATCATAGCCAAAATCTCAAGCTACAAATTAAGCTGAAACCTAGGATAATGAAACAAGTGAAGAAGGTGATATATCTGAAGAATAAGTTTAATAAGTTGAGACTACTTAAATTAATGAAGAACCATAAGAACCTATTGTTGAAGAACCAAAATTCAAAAAATAAAAAATTATACATACATTCCCTATCAATTATACTATAACACATCATGTTGTATTAGGATTAAATCAATAAGAAATAGATGATTCAAAAAAAATTATTAAATAATTTGAAACAGCAGAAGAAAATAGTAGAAAATTAAGTGAAATTAAAAATAAATTAGAATCACTTATTTATACAGTTAGAGAAGTTAAAGATGCTGAATATTTCTAAAAGGCATCAACTGAAACTGAAAGAACTGAAATCTTAAAGACAATTGAAGAACATGCTGAATATCTTGATAGCGATGAAGCTTGGACAGCTGATTTTGAAAAATTCAATACTAAGTTTACTTAATTAAATAATTTGTAATTATTATTTTTATCAAAATAGATTAAAGCCTATTTAAGTTAGATTAGATGAAGCTAAAGCTAGACCTTAAGCTATTAATGAAACTATTACAAAGTTGACTGATTTCCATAAAAAAGCAAATGCTCTTAACTCTACTATGCCTTGGATTCCTGAAGAAAAAAAAGTTAAGTTTTTAGGACATCTTACAAATACAACAGAATGGTTGAAAACTAAATTAGATGAATAAGAAAAAAGGGAATTACATTAAGATCCAGCGTTTTTAATTGAAGAATTGAAGAAAAAAATGGATAAAGTCAGTGAAGAATACACTAAATTAAAAGCTATTCCTAAACCAAAAAAGGTATTCATTATAAATATTATTATTAGACCCAAGAATAAAAGGATGAAGAGAAAAAGAAAAAGGAGGAAAAGAAATAAAAAAACAAAAAAGAATCTGAATCTGATACAACTGATTCAAGTAACAATTCAAAACAAGAATAATAAAATTAATAAGATGAAAAAGAATAATCATAATAAGAATAATAATAGGAAGATAATTTTTAAGATTAATAGGATAGTCAAACCTAAGGAGACGGAGAACCAACAATTGAGGATTTGTGATATAGATAATTCAAATAAATTATAAATTATTATAAATTATTATAAAAATAAGACTTTTTAATTTCTCATCATAAACAAGAATCTATATCTTTTAATTGTTAATTGATATCATTTTTTTTAATTTATAGTTTATCCTTATTTATTTTAATATCTTAAGATTTTATATAAAAGATTATTATGGTAATTAGAATTAGTAATCTAATCATAAAATTTATTGAATTAAAAAATTTAATTTAGCTAAATAATTATTTATAATATCAATGAAAAAGTCAATTTGTTTGAGTATTTTTTATATTTTTTTTGCAATATCTGATTAGTTTTTGTTTCACACTTGTATTTTCCGATTTATTAAAATTTTAGGCTTAAGTTAAATATTATTTTAATTGTTTTTATTTATTTGTTTTTAATTCACTTTGCTCTGTGTATAATCTTTCTATTTTTTTTGTAGTTTTTTCTTACGAAAAACATTCCTTTTTCTGAAAATGTATATTTATATATTAGTCATAATAATTATCAATAATTTAGTAAAAATTGTATGGGGTTTAGACATTTATTTCTGAATCAGTTAACTGTGTTATTCTTTTCGTTAATTTCTTTAAGTTTGATGAGCATGATGAAGTTGTAGTTGACTTTTACCTTTCTGATGTATCATCATAAAGAATTAATGGTTTTGAGGTTTTATGATTTTTCTCATCATCACCAAAGACAAACTTTTAAGATTTTAAAATTGTATATAAAGATGATGACTCACCCTTGGATTGGGATTTTAAGAAAATTCTAAGTTTGAAGTTATTTGAGTTAGAAGCATTGTTACTCACTTTCATAGATAGATTATTAATAAAAAGTTCATGTAATTTATCTATGCTTTTTTTTCTTCTGATTACGTAAGCAATCTTACTTTTAAATATTAAGCAATGGAATTAATTGTGTATACTTTTGGAAACTTGAAAATTTTAAGATTTAAGTCATCCGATTTTAAAGGCCACAATAAATAAATCAATTTGAGCTTTAAAGTTACGATTAGTTCAATTTAAAATATAATAAGAAGTAATTAATTCAAAGCAATTTTTTTTCTTCAAAACCTAATAAATTTATGATCAAGACTTAATAATAACAAATAATAATTGAGAAAGAAAAAAGTCAATTCTGATTAATAAAAAATAAAATTATAATGATATTTTTATTATTATAAATTACATAATTAATTACTCTTCTATTTAACTCATTTATTTTTTTTAGGTTATTGCTTCTTTAATTATTTCTCTTTTTATTTCATTTAAAGCATTCCAACTCCTGTTAATTTAACTCCAGATAACATAGTTTAGACAATCTCTTCATCAGTAATCATTTTCAATAATTATCTTTCTTGATTAGTAACATCCTTATTAGCCAAGAAGAAATTTAATATTTCTTTACCAGCTAAAATATTTATCATGAATTAATACCTTTTCCTTTTTTCAAAGAACCTGGTGCCATTTTAATTTTAAACTTATTATTTCCTATAACTTAATAAGGAGCAACCATCGGTATAAGACTCAAATATTTATCTAAAATATTATTCTGAATATTGTTACCATCAGCATATAAATAGGAGACAAGTTTTTGCATTTCAGTATATTCAATATTATCTTCCTCTTATTCAGGTTATTTTTCTTATTTTTCATCATCACTATCTAATTCTTCTTATTTATTAACTGGATTTTCAGGTCCTTATTATTAAATAACTTCTTATTATTACACTTATTGTCCTTCTAATTCTTATTATTCTTATTATTCTTATTATTATTATTATTATTATTATTCCACTTTTTATTCTAAAATTTATTAAATTTATTAATCTGAATTATTATCTGGTTTTGTAACTTCAATTCCTTATTATTTAAGTAATTTTTCTGTAATAGATTCTTATTTATATTATTATTTTTTATAGTACTCTTTATCTTTTACTTATGAATCTTATTATTATTACTAAGTTTAATCTTATTCCTATTTTTATTTGTTAGGTTCATTTTTATCTTTATCTTTCTTTTTTTTATCTGGTTTGACTTCATTTTTCATATATGTTGCTCCCATAAGCTTTTGTCTCAATTCTCTTTCTTCATCTGATTAATCAGCATATTTTTCTTTAACTTTTTTCATTTTATTTTTTTTGCCTCTAACTTGTTAAGACTTAGGATTCTTTTAATTTTTTTTATCATCATCAGAGCTATCATTATCAGATTCTTTTATATTTTATTTTTGTTATTATTATTATTTAGATTATTATTATTATTATTTAGGTTGTTATTACTATTTAGACTATTATTATTATTTAGATTATTATTATTAAATCTATTAATTTTGTTAAGAATCTTTTTCTTTTTATTTTTTATCATTTCTTTATTATATAATTCTTGCATTAGGATTGACTTCAACAATTGTATATTCTTTATCACCTTATTGAATAGTTTAAACAGAATTTGTTTTTGAAAGGTCAAGTAATTCATCTTTATTATCATTTGGATTCTCATCATTATCATCATTGTCAGAATCAAGAATATTTTTTTCAGTAATTTCAGATTCATTTTATTCAGATTCATCAACTTAAGATTATTCTTCTCTTAATTTTTTTTTTCTTTCTTCTTCATGTCTTTTAATACTTTCTTAATCCAATTGATATAAAATAGTACAACCCATTTCTAATCTAGGAGGATAAATAAAATTCTTTTTTCCATAAATCATAAAAGAACCAGCTGGTATATTCATACCTGTTGGTGCACCTTTACTAACTTGAGATGCATGTACCCACCATGCAGAAACAACAATTTTGGCATCCCAAGATTTAGATCTGCAAATTGTAGCCGTGGCTGCTTACATAATAGTTGATTCAGGAATAGGAACTTCATTAGGATTCTTGACTATTGTTGAGGCTGATCCATAAATATCAGCATGCATATAAATATCATCTTTATTCATATATTTCTTAACTATCATTTCATTCTATTATACATCCTTACCACTTATTACTAAATATCCATCAGATGAAATAAACCAATAAAATTTTTCAAACCAATACTTTTTTCTTTAATTTTACACTTTCTATATTTTGTTTTTTTCTCTCTCTATCTCTTTCAATGCAGTCTTCTCTGCTTATTTTAATGCTTATTCTACAGCTTCCTTAGTTTTAATTCTTTGTCTCTATTTTCTTTTTACTTTCATAATATTTTCTGGCATTTTAATAAGCAGATTAAGTAATATCAATTTCTATTTAAATCAAGTCAGAATATTCATCATCTTTATTTCCTAACAATATTGTCACTTTATTTTATTTCTTATAAAATAATATACTATTAATACCAAATTCATTCCTCCTATCATATTAGAAAGTGGATTTCCTTCTTTTTTGCTATCATTAATCATCCTTTAAATCTTGTCCCAGGGAATTCCATTATCCATCATCTTTTGGATAATGTCGATAATAGCTTACACATCATCAATATTTTCTTATATAAGTCCTGCTTTAATTATATATTCATCCTATTCTGCTTACAATTTTTAAATTCTACTCATTTGATCCTATTTAATATTTTCAAATTTCTTCCATGCTATATCTTCAATTGATTATTTATTTTCTTCTTATCTATCTACTACTAAAAAGTATTAATGAACAGCCTCATTAAATGTTGGTGTTTCTATAACATATTTCCCTTCATAGTAAGCAGCTTTATCAGCAGCAAAATCAAAAAACTTTGGCTTCTATTCTGCATCTTTAGGCGCTTCCTTTGCACATAAATAGCCTTTATATTATGCCTATGCTCGATATTTATTTATATAATCCATTGCATAATCTACTACTTTCTTTACATTTTCATATTGATTCACTATCTTTTCATTCTAATTCATTTTTAACTATTAAATTATATCATCTGTCAATGCCTAATGTAAACAAGGCACCAATTTAAATACTATTTCTTTTAACTTCTATCCTGGCTTCTCACTTATCACCTTTACTATTCTCTCCATTGATGTATCAAATTTCTCTAAATAATTTGTTGCTGTATATTCAAATGGATATATCTCATTAGGTGCAACCCTAATCATTTTTATATTCTATACTTCACATTCTCTGAAAACTCATGTTATCTTGTCAATTAAATTATTCTGTAATCTTTATCTGCTAGTATTATATTTCCTTAAGAATATAATTCCAATATTAAATAATATGTATGATCTTCCCTTCCAAATGTAAATACTACTACTCTTTCTACTCCAATCTACTCTATGCTTTCTAATCTTCTGCTTCTTAAAAATTTTCTAAATTTCATTGTGAATCCAGATGGTACTTTATTCTTCTCTATCGTATCTGAAAGGTTAAATCTCAATCCATTTTCAATTATTAAATAAGACTTCGATTCCTGGACAGAAAATTTAAAAACATATGTCTTCGAATCAATATTGTAAATATTTGAAAGCCTTTTTATTATTCAATTTTCCTACCTTGTTCCTATCAACTTTTGCTTTAGTTCTGCCACCAAGGCCATTATGTCAAGAGCTGTAAGTCTTATTTTGTTTTTCATCATAATTATAAATAAATTATTAAAGAATACTTAATTAAATAGATTTCAAGCAAAAAATTACTTTCTGATTATTCCACTATTTATTTGCTTATCCTAAACTATTTTTAGATCAAATAAAAGATTAAAACTAAATATCTATAAAACAAAAGCAATTTTTACATTATTAGAAATTAATTCATTTTATTCTAACCTATGATTCTTAACATTCTTATCTTTATTCTAAAACATGTATTCTTATAATCATTTTGACTTATTAAAAATCAGAGCTAAATTCATAAATCCATTTATTTTAATTTCAATTATGATTTAATCAAAATTTATAATATAAATAACACTAAAAATACGAAATTCTCTATTCTCGTACTGATTTTTTAACATAATTGACGATACAATGTCTTAATATTATTCATATGAAAGTTCTAATGAAGCAATTAAATTTATTGAAAGTGTGTAGTACCTAATTTCTAAACCAGTCTATATGATAAAAATTATCATTGATGAGATTAAATTTAATAATTTTGAAGATGATTGTGAAAGACTTTTTTGAAATTTGAGGTTATCTTATTTCATATAAGAAGAATAAATGAATAGAATGATAAAATTATTATAAGGATAATAAATATTGAAGTTATTTTAGCGCATTTTTATTTTTGAAAAATTTTAAAATAAATTTTAAAAATTAGTTCGTGAATGCAAACCTAAGACTTAGGATATTTGATAAATGCCTTATAATTAACATATGGAACTTCATAAGAGAGTGTAAACAATGGAGAGGCTCTATTAAAATAAGCATCATTGCAACCATTGTAATTAAATTATTAAAATTATTAGATATGCAATTTCATTATTAAGGATAGTAGATAATTAAACATAGCCAGAATTATTAAGATAAAGTGCAGTAGTGAATTTGAAAACATTTTTAGAAAAGCATTGGGCTGAGAAGAAAGAGCCAGGTCATTTTGTGGTAAGTGAAGAAGAGAAAAGTGTAATAAGAGCAACAATAATTGATGCTTTAGCAAGGTAGTTTAATAAATACATAATAGATGTATTTAAGTAAAGAAGTTAAGATCATAATATGAAGATTTGATTTACAAATTAGTAGCAATAGACTTTCCTAATGATTGGCCATAATTAGTATAATAACTAGTTATCAAATTACAAAACTTTACTTCATATGAAGACTTATGGAGTGCATTACTAACTTTAAGACGTACATGCGAAGTACATTAATTTTTATTGGAAAATGATCGTAAACCATTAGAACCATTAGTTGCTTCAACATTTCCAATATTAGAAAGTTTGTTTTAGAAATTCTTAGAAGGTTATAATGAATAAAGTGGATAATTAGTTAAAGTAATATTAAAAATATTCCATCATGCTACACATTTAATGATGCCAATATATATGTAAGATTAAAATACTGTAGCTAAATGGATGCTTTATTTTAAGACAATTATATAAGCTCCTCCACCTCCTGAATTATCTACTATAACTTAAGATTCTTAAGAAGAAACCAGAAGAGAAAAAACATACATTTGGACAAATAAAAAATGGGCTAGCAGAATTGTATTGAGATTTATTCAAAAATTTGCAAATAAAAAAATGGTTGAAGCTAATATGGCTGATTTTGCAGAACATATAAAATCAACTTATGCTATTGGATTTATGGAAATCTTTTATAAAATTTTAACAGATAATTCATAATTTTAAGGTCCTAGAACTTGTTTACATGCTTTAAAATATTTATTTTATTCTTTAAAATTAGATAATACAAAGGAATTATTAAAACCTCATTATGATAAACTTATATACCATATAGCTATTCCAAAGATGTAACTTACTCATAGAGATGATTAATTATGGAAGAATGATCCTGAAGAATATATTAAAAGATTAGATGATTTTTCACTTTCAACCTATAATATTAAAAATCCAGCTAATGATATATTATAGGAAGTTTGTCTATAAAAAGATATAAATGGAAATTTAATGTTAATTTCTTTTCTTAATTATTGTTAAACAGCATTTAGTACAAATATAGATCCCTTAACTAATTAGCCTTTAGATCTTATTAAAAAGGAAGCCTTATTATGGGGTATTGAAAGTTTAGTTCATTAGATTTCAAAAATCAGTTCCATTTAGGGTGGTTTAGAATAAATCTTAGAGAAATATATTCTACAAGAATTTTAAAATCCAGTTGGATTTTTAAGAGCACGAGCATGCCATTTATTTAATGAATATGGTTCAATTGAATTTAAGAATAAATAAAATATTTAATTAGCTGTTTAAGGGATTTCAAAATGTATATTAGATAAAGAATTACCAGTCAGAGTTGCAGCAGCAATATCATTTAGTTAAATTCTTTAGCATAAAGAAGCCTAAGATTTAATACGACCATAATTAAGTTAGGTTTTAGAAATATACATTAAATTAATGGAATTGATAGATAATGAAAAAATTGTTAAGTCATTAGAAGAAATTGTTAAATATTTTACAAATGAAATAACTCCATATGCTCATTAATTATCTGCACATATTGCAAATATTTTTTAAAAATATTGTAAAAAATAGAATTAAGGAGATGGTGATTCTGATGATGATGGTGAAGCTGAATTAGCTGCATCTGGATGTTTAGAAGCAATTAAAAGAATTCTAAATGCTCCACTTTAATAAGATTCTTATACCTAATTAGAATCTGTCATCTTTCCTATTATTAATTTTGCTCTTACAGAAACAGGATGTGATTTTATTAATGAAGCTTTAGAGATATTAAATATAATGTTATACAAAAGAAAATAATTAACTCCAGGTTTATGGTTTTATTATCCAGTATTATGTTACATAATATTGGGAATACCTTAAGAAACAAATGTATATAGTATCTAAGGTTTAACAGAAGAATAATATATTTTGTTAGAAGGATGTAAAAAAGATTGGGGAAGTGAATTTGTTTCTTAAATGTTAGGATCCTTTAGAAACTATATTTAAAAAGGAGGTGCTACATTCTTAACACAAAATGATTTCTTTGGAAATTCATTCATTTCTTTAGTTTTTAGATTTCTTTAAAAGATTTATGTAATAGCTGATATTGGAACTGATGAAACAGATTAAAATTAAGTGACTACTATATTAATAGCATTGATAGAAAATTATCCTGGCCAAATAGATAATCTTATTCCATAAATTATTGACTTTTCTTTAGCTAATTTATAAGTAATTATTTATATTTACTAATTTTAGAAAGATAAAAAAACAAATAGATTTAAAATTGTTAATATTGGAGTTTTATGTATGTGTATTTGGTACAATCCAAACCTTGCTGTTAATTACTTAAATAGCAAAGGATTGACAGATCAAATCCTATAAACTATACTCTCTATGGAAAAGTTTTATAAATATGAATAGGATATTAATAGATTAATCTTTGCTCTCTGTTAATTATATTCGCTTCCTTAAATTCCTAATTATTTATTATTAACATCTGCAGAAATTGGAAAATTGTTTGTGAGGTTATCTACCAAAATCTTAGAACTTAGAGAAGAAGAAGAATCTTGTGATTAAGAAGATTAAGCAGAAGAAGAAGAGGATTTTAAAAAAACTATAGAAAAAATATAAAATTTAGAATAGGATGATGATGAAGATGATGAAGATTATGATGAAGGTGATGATGAATATGCTGAACTTTATGATAGTCCTTTAGAAGATTATGATTCCATTTTATTAATGGAAAAATTAGTCTTGACACTTCAATAAAATAATTAATAATTGTATGCTGCCTTGTTCTCCTAATTGACTCAATAAGAATAAGAATAAATGACTAAAAATATTAAAGATGCTAAAGAATAATATGAGGTATGGCTCTAATAAAAATAATAGTAAAATAAGTGATATTTATTTAAATATATAATTATATTTATAATTATTTAAATTATCATGTTCTTCAAAACTATTACATAATTTATTAATTAATTCTTATTAATTATCTAGATATTTAATGTCTTTTTAGGATGCTTATAATTAGAAAATGCTAAAGTTAATCATATTTATAAATATTATATATGCTCTAAAACAATATAATATCAAATCAGTTTAATACTTTATTTAATGAAGTTTGTTTTATTATTTAAGCAAATTTTTCCATTGTATATTCATTAATTTACCTGTCTTCACAATATGTTTAAATTTTAAATTTGTTCCAATCATATTTATCATTAACTTTCACTTATCTTGGTTCCAGATGATATTATAATTTTAATCTCTTCTATGATTTTCTATAATTGGCTAATATAGACTTTGCAGAAGAATAATTAATTGATAATTGCTAGGCTACCTACTTTATTTAAAATAGTATACTTCTCTTATTGTTCGACCCTTCTAAATAACATTCTTAATACACTCTTATTTAAGTTACTCAGTTATTTTTGCGTATCGTTTTTCGATACATTTTCCAAATATTTTCTTCATCTCCATTTCAACTTAATATTTGATTTCCTCAATGACTTTCATAACTATAATTAGTTGCTTTCAGGAGAAAAATAAATTTAATATGATCTCAAATTCATTACGTCTCATTTCTATAAAATTTATAATTAAATGTCGTTTTAAATAAAAATACATTATTGATACTGAAATTCTTTCCATTATGTAAACTTGATTTAAGGAATATTTTAAATTCAGAGAATTAATTTGCTTCTTGTAATTTGGTATCAATAACGCTTTTATTCTTTCTGATCTTTTTTTTTAAATAAATAATATAGCTTTAGAGATAGCATAAAAAATAATTAAATTGAATATTAGAATTGAAAATGAATTAATCATCAAATATTAAAATGGCAATTTTTATAATTATACCACATAAAAATAAAAATCAAATTTAATCATAAGAATAGATTATGATAAATTTTTCATCTAAGTTAGAACGTCTTGAAAATTTATCCTAACATTTCGAAACTTAAATAAGTCTTGCTGAAAAGAATAAACTAAAGGAATAAAAATTTAAATGAAAAAAAGCAGATTTTTATTAGACCATTTAAAAAAGTCTAAATGAAAATGCTGATTAGATAATTGCTCTATAGGATACTTTTTTAAGTTTAGCAATACTAATTATAAAAAAGTAATAATAATTATAAAATTAATCATATAAACATCTTTGAAATTGAAAAACAATTTATAAAATAATAAATTGAAGAAAATTCAGTAAACACTGCAAAAATTTCTTATAGTTATTAAAAACAGGTTTAATTTGATAAATATTAAGAAATAGGATAGTTAAAGAAATAGTCCACATAGAAAAAGGTATCAAAAATTTTATATTTTTAAAAGACAATCAAAGCTTAATAAAAAATAAATTTATGTTTATAAGATTGTTCTAATTAAATAGTGTTTAAATAATATTTTTGTTAAATTATTTTTTTCTATCTTAAAATGTACAAGTGATTTTTGTATTTTTAATGTTCAATCTAAATTATTTTATATTAATTTAATTATATTATATTAAATTTAACTAGAATGCAATAATAATAATAAACAAACTAATAGGAACTAAGATAGATTTTTTAGTTATTTTCTTAAGAAGGAGGAGATGATATTAATATAGCTCAAATAAATTAATTAATAAAAGACTTAGAAACTATAAACATGGATTCTTAAACATTAAATGTGCCTTATTAACCAGGAAGAAGATTAGCGAAAAAAGTAAATTCAAACGACAACCTAGAAGATGCTCAAAAAGATAGTTCTCCTAAATCACCAACATATGTATCTGTAACTGAACTAAAGTAAAAAATTATTTTTGACATAGATATTTTCCTAATAATAAGACAACAATGTAATTTTAAGATTTTTCGGAGCTGTTTAATGAATGCATGTCAAATAAAGATTAACATGACGAATTATTGGAAAGTGCATTTGCTATTTTTGATTTCGATAAATCTGGTCATATAGATTCAAAAAAAATAAGAAAAGTATTTTAAAAATTCAAAGACAATACAAGTGAAGAAGAGATTTAAAGTAATACTAATATTAAATTTAGATGTTCTAAAATTTTGTGGAGTGTTACATGATTAAATGTCTTTGTAGGAGTTTAAGGAATTTTTTAAGAAAAATTTATGATCATATAAAATATGATAAAAATTATTCAAACTCTACCGAATGTTTCCACAAAACTATTGTAAATGGAATTTTAGCTAAGAGTTCAACATAACATAATGCTGTGACAAATTTGTTTATGTGTTTTTCTCCTTTGGTTATACCGTAGTTCTAAAATAATAATAATAATTACTCCTCCACATATGTATAGCCAGAGTAAATCATAAAGAAATAAGACAGCAAATAAATATGTGAACACTCTCATCCATTTTTAGTTAATTTCTCTAAGGATTAATAATAACATCATATATGCTAGTAATGTTAACTAATATTAATAAATTGTTTTACTTCCATAAATTAGCATCGATATAAACTAATCATAACAGATAATGCAACCACCAATCCAGTTAGTTTATAAAATAAAGGAACCCAATCTTATATTCTTTCTTATAGTGCATCATTTAAAGTATCTAAACATTTCAATTCAAATTCTTTAATTTCTAAAATTGGAGGTAATTATCTAATTTTGATACAACCTCCACTAAATACTTTAGCTAGACAATTTAAGGCTTATTAAGTTTCTTTCATTTCAAGATTATTCTGATTAATTTCATGATTTAGTTTTTACTATTCTTATTTGTATAAGCTTTCCTAAATTAGAAGAAACTTACTTTTGAATGATTGAATTTTAATATAACATGTAATTTAGTTTTGATTTTCATATTGTCTTATCTTTATAAATTTACACTGATATCCTTTAGTTTTTATTCTCTTAATTCAGAAATCAAAAATTGAGTATAACCAATCATATTATCATCCATCTAAAGTAGATTCAATTTCTTACACTATCAAAAAGTGTTATTGTAACATCCTAACAACCAGAATCAATGGGAAATTCAAATTACTCTTAAAATTATGGACTAACTCCTTTCATAGTTCTAGTTTTGTGTGTTTTAGGTCCACAACAAATTTAGAGATAAACGCTAGGATTTTTAATTTCAATATTTTGACAATCCATAATTTAAAGAGTTAAAGAGTTCTATTATAATGCATCTGAATTTAACTAATCACTTAATTATTAATGCAAAACTCTTAGTTCTTTAATCTTATTATTTAATATTTCTGAACGATATTATAAAGTATCTACAGTCTCATTGTATTAATTAATAAAACTTTCTAAATCTATGACTCCATTATTTAAAGATAATTCAATCAATTATTAAAATAAGTGTTCATCATAAAAATGGCCACACTTCATAAAATAATTTAAAATACTTTTTACTTAAGGTAGATATCAAATTGTTCAACTAAAATCTTGTTTGTCTAGAATGCTGTGAACATTTCATTATATTATTGCTAATTCATTTCAAATTCAAAATATTAAAGGGAATTAATCAAATTTTCAATATTAAATTTGAAGTGGTATGCTCTAATTTAAGATTATTGAAAAACGAAAGCGAAAAATCTAGTTTCAATATACAATTTATTAATTAATAAGGCTACAGCTCCTTAATTAACTAATTATAAGTAATTGGTTTATTTTTTCATAAAATAAATGCTCGTTGATGTTGTAATTAAAGAAAAAAAAAATGTTTACTGAAGATAAGAAATAAAACCTAAGAAATTAAATTTCATTTTATCAATAAGGTGTTCCCAGAAATATAAATATGAATAAAGAATCTCATTTTATAATATTTTTTAAAAAGACATTCTATAATTTGATTTTATTAACGAAGGCTGAAACCTTAGTTAATAAAGATCTAAATAGAAGTATTTCATTAATAGAAACCATTTCTGGAAATATCAAAATGATGGAATAAATATTATCATTAATTGGTCAGCTAATAAATAAAACATTATTGATATTATCATGAGAGGATTATTATTGAATTTTTCTTAGAAATAATCATTAGATCATCATTAAAATAAGACATCACATTTAACTTTCTTATTCAAATTGAGTACAATTTAATGTTGCCTAAGAAAGAAGTCTAGTTTATATTCAAGATAATTGATTAAAAACCTAATACGAATTCAAATTTAATAAAGAATGAACAATTACAAATGTATCTTAATATTATATTATCATGTAATCCTTTATTCTTTTCTATTAAAATAATATTATTCATCTATTTTTAGATTGTTTAATTTATTAATCTATTTTCTATTGTTAATAAATAGATAATTAAGTTCAATCTTTTCTAAGATAAATAAAATAATCATTTAATATACAAGGTGAGAATATGATTAAAGAACTTATAATTAAGAAAAATATTATAAAATAATTGTTTATAAAAAATAATGAAGGATTACAGTGAAACTCGTCCTCTAAACAAAAAAAGAGTAGTGAGATCAGAATCACCTCCTCCACTTCGAATTAGATACAATCGGCCATACAAAACAATAGTTTTATCATTTTTTCTATTGAGTGCAGGAATACTATTTACAGAATAAGGAATATTGTAATATCAAGAGAAAGGGTTAGGAGAGACATATCCAATATTTATTTTAGCAATAATGTTATTAATACCAGGTGTATTCTATTCTGGAATGTTTATATTGATAGTTTTAGGAATAGGAGGATTTACTTATGATATGTTACCATCAGTGAATAATTGAATAAAATATATTTAATTGTTAAATCATAAAAAGTACTCTGGTACTCTTCTGGTTGTTTAAGGTTCATTATCTCTTGGAGCAGGTTCATATTATGAGCTATAATCATAAAGGATTAATTTACAAACTCATTTTTAATTAATCATCTACCTCTACTATGCAAGCTTAATTACCACATCTATAACAGTAATTGGGTGCTGAGAATATTGTAACAGTCTTCCGTTAATGTACATGTTAAAATCCTTCCATAACTAATTAATGTGCTCTTGCTATCAATTTCAATTTATTTTAATGTAGAAATTTGTCTGTTATATCTTAACCCCATGTCCATCCTGCTCCTCTAGGAGATACACCCCATCCTAGTTTAGTTTCTTCTGGATCACTCCATAATAAATCACAAATTGCACCATCATGAGGAATATCTTAAATTCTATTTAATTATTTAATCTAATCAACTGTCTCTATTGCTGGTGATAAACCTCCATGTGTACAGAATATCTAATCATAATTTTTATTATTTACACTATTCTCAACTATTGCCACCAATGGCAAATAACCAAAAACATCTGTAAAGTGCTTCCATACTATCTCATTTCCATATTTTCTTTAACATTCATCATAAAAACCATAAATCTTATTTATTTCTCTATTCTCATGATTACCTATTTTTATTTTACTTATTACCTCTCAATACAGTCAATCTGTCTTTATACCGTATTTTTAGGCAAAGTATAAGACTAAAGGTTTCAACACTTTAAGAACCTCGATCTACATAATCTCCAAGAAACAGATAATTAGTTTCCTTTATAATTTTTCTTAAAATACTGGCAATCTGCCTCCAATACGAAACAATTCAATTAGATCATGAAATTAACCATGTATATCTCCACATATTGTTAATGGTGCTCTCACAGCTACAATATTAGGTTCATCAACTAGTATTTCTTTTGCCTGATCAATAATGCAAATATTAACACTTTTTAACACACCAACTTTATATCATTTTCACTTAGCAATTAACCATTATACAGATCCTCTATATATTTATCAAAATTCCCCAATTCAGAATTACTCAATTTTGATGGATTCATAAAATATTATAATAAATAAAAATTGATTTCTTCTTTTCATCTTTGTTTATCAAATTAAAATTGCCTTTAAACAAAATGACTCTAAAAAATTCAGTTTCTATTTTTGACCACTCAATTATTATTTTCATAATAATTATTTTAGGAAGAAATTTTAATACTACATATTCTAATAAAATAAAACATTAATATTTTTTAAAATAGTAAACCTATCTCATTATTTCAAAGATTATGTTATATTTCATAATCGAATTGTAGAAACATTTATAAAATATATAAAATTCGAATTTGAAGAATTTAGTTATAAATTATATAATAGACAAATTTATAAGTCTCAACCTGGACCAACTTTTGGAATATCATAATGTTCAGGCATCTTTTAAATTTTCTTGTTGAAAGTTTCTATTTTTTATCTGTATGTTAATTCCATTTTCTAGAAATTTTTAAAATTGTAATTACTTTTTCTATTTTATCGCCTAATCTCTTAAGTCTAACTAAATCAAATTAAATTTCTGACTAAGTCTTTCCTGTTCCTCCTTACTAAGCCATTTCAACTGGATTGAATTATTATTATTTCTTAAATTTTTCGTTTTCTATCTCTTACTCTGATAAATTATGATATCATAATTACTATCTACTGTTTCTTATTGATTGTATATCTTTTTTTCAGTTGGATTAGTTTTTTGAATTTTCTTTTTTAATTAAAGAGGACCGAATTTTTATGACATTAATAATAATATATTTCATTAACCAAAGGATAATAGAATCCAAGAACAAGATGGCTGTAACAATGATAATAATAATGTTATATTGGAGCCAAAACTACTCAGTTCTATATTATGATATATATTAATACCAAGAGCACTCTAATTATGTGAGGGACTATATCTTTGTAAAGTTTTGTAAACAAAGATAGCTTAACAAATTAATACATATATAGTGCAAAAAAATGAAAAAAGGTTATTAGTCAGAATGTTGAATATCATAAGGGCACATAGACTAATAATTGTGATTAGAAATACCTGCAATATCTATAATTTAAATGTGAAATAAGATCGACAGTATTAACCCTAATTCCATCCATAAAACAAAAAACAATTTTGATAATTATTAACTCCAAAAGGGAAATAACAAAGCATTTCCAAAATGATTCAACTATATAGCCTGGATTAAATGATGACTTATCGTAAATTCCTAAACTTAAACACCTAAGTAAAACAAAAGTGATTAGACTCATCAAAGGTAAATAGAGATCAGGAGCATGAACATTCTCTGTAGGTGAAATTGCTTAAAATTCACTGTCTGTAATTTATACAAGAAATACTACTTAAAGTCCAATTTCCCCTATAAAGATAAGGTGCAATTGTCATGATCGATTTCTTAACAACATACATGTTGTCTACATCAAAATAAAATCTATATTGACTGCTGAATATTTTATTAAGAAATGAATCATATTTATCTCCAATACCAGAAAATTTTCTTTATTATTAGTTTCATTTACTTTCCAAAGTTTGCATAAGCCATCCCAAATAAGGGATTATCTAATGTATTCTTAGCCTTATTGACAGTATTTTCAATATTTTGAGGATTGAAGGCAAATGCAAAGGGATCCGTAGACGTGTCTTATTATGGTTTCATTAATTAAGTTAATTCTGGAAATCTTTTATATTAAAAATATTTAACGAATAATGCAACAATAATATAGAGGACATAGTTAATCATTTAAATCAAATCAAGTTTAAGTATATGTAAGAAAGTAAACTAAAACATATGATAATTTTTTTGAGATCATTTATAACTATATCATGAATAGAATAAAGCAAAACAATAAAAAATTTATCGATTCATTAACCTACAATTTGGATTAATTTTTTCAGGATTTGATGATTAAGAAAATAAAATAATAAATTCTAAATACAATCTCCATAGATGTATCAAAAATCTAATTTAAATTGACTTTAATATTATCCAAGTTTCTTCATCCAGTTATGTGTAATCAAAACATTAAGTGCTGATGAAAAATCAATTAAGAAAAATTTTTCCTATAATTATGCCGTTGCAATATAAACGGACATATAGCATTGTATAACGCAAATATTAAAATGTATGAGTGAAATGAAAAAAGGATAAAAAAATAGTGATCGAATCAAGAAAATAGTAAATGAAAAAGTCATCAGAAAAAAACATAGAACTGGTTTGATAATTATATCAAATCATTATTATCTAAGTATCAAAGTAGATGAAGTAAATCAATTTTATAATAATGAATTATCTTATTAAAGAATAATAGGAACAATCAAAACTATAATACAAAAGATTTATGACTTATTGAACTCTATTTAACTCCAAAAAATGTGGTTAAGATGTTAATAGAATTTAAGATAAAATTTAACCTCAAAAATTCTTCTGATTTTAATATAAATTCAACTAGATTGCATAGCAATAATTAAACAAACCATAATCTACTTATATTATCGAATATTAGAAGTCAGGTATTTCCTTTTAGTAAATAAGAATTAACAAGATCTTACTAAAATAAAAATGTTAGAAATTGGTATGATTATATACATAAAACTGAGTAATAAAAAACTTTTCTATCTATGAACTTAAACTTTATACTCCTAAATTTGAAATTAGTGTTCTTCCAATTAAACAAAAATTGCAGCTAAAAATTAGAGAAAGCAATAAATAAAATTATATATTAATGCAATTATTCTCACAATAAGTCTGTTTATTGTTCTAGCCTTCTATATTAATTTTAAGGAGGTGGAAGTTTCTACTTGCAAGATTTAGAATATGCTTATATTATCTATGAGCATCCACAACATGCAGCTATAGTTAAAATAGATATTATTGAAGCCACAGCCAACCTTTTCATTTATCTATCTTATGATTCAATTCCTATTTTTATTAAATATATGTTTTAGTACCCAATACTTAAAAAAAATGATATTTATCAAGTTCATTAGCAATGTCTAATAGTGTTAAATTTTCTTCTTTTTGCAAATACACACCATCTTCCAGATCATTTTGCTCTTAGGAAACACTCAGAGAATGCTCTGACTTAATACAAATCATTTACATTCACTAATACGAATAAGAAAAGCATTAATATTTTCATGATATAATAATATAAAACGAATTCAGATTATTTTCATAACTTTATATAACTTGATAATCCTTAGGTAGAATTTTCATTCTAATTTGACATCTATTTTAAATATATAAAATACTGTTGATTATATATTACTTGAGGAACTAAAAATATCAGCATCTAAAATCTTTTTATTAAAATACTCTGCTCCTCTAAATAAAAATTTAGATTTATTATTATTCACTCTAATTATTATGAATATCAAATATACGAATATTTCTCTAACTGCATTTCATATTAAAGTAATTTACTCTCTTACTCATTAATTTTTTTAGTAAGTTCTTACACTTAATTAATCAATTCTTAACATGAGGGAGTATTTATGAGTTTCTTAGTAACACTAAAATTCAATAAAATATTTTACTAATCTAACTATATATTCTTTGTATCTAATTCACTTAAGAGTTGTTTACACTTATCTTTATACTCTGATAATTCAATCAAAATAGCCTTTTAATTAACCTCATTAACTAAATGTCCAAGAACTATAAAATGATTACAAATATATATTTACTTCCATTCTCATGTAAATCTATTTAAGATTTACTACGTTATTCTAATTATTTTTTTAACATAGAAATTTCAGATAGAAGTTACTATTTTTCATGATTACGCTTTTAATTGTTGCGTTCAATGATCATCTAGTATTTTTAAATTTCTTAAATAGATAGCTCATATTTTAAAGCTAACTCTTTGTATTGTTAATTTTGCACTTATAATTGTTTTTTCAATTCTATCTCTGCATTCATAATTGTTTTGCTTTTCTTTTTATAACAAACAGCAATCTCTGCTTATGAAGTTATTGTTCTATTTGTTTATTTGAGTACTAATTATGTCTTCTATTATGGGGATGAACTCTAAGCTGGAGTGGCAGAAGGAGATTGTTAATGAGAATAGTGAATTTTGTGCATTAACGAATATATATATATTTTTAATTAATTTCAATTATGGCTTTGTTCATATGCAAACAACTCTTATTGTTACTACCATTAAGAATTCTCTTCAATTTTATATGATTTGATTATCTCATCATCAATAGCTACAATCTTTTCAACTTTTACTTTTGGTAGATCCGCCATTAATTCATTCGTGTGTTAAAATAGATTTTCTAATCTAGATTTAACTAATTCAACTCTAGGTTAATATAAAAAAGTTTGAGAAGCTATAGGATTTTAATTAGTACAGCTTGACTAATCAGGTATCTATAAATTTGTACATCTAGATTAATCTGGGATTTATTAATTTGTGAATCTTGATTATTCTTAAAGTTGGAGAATTTACGTTTGAGATTATGGATTTTAATTTTTTTGTGGTTCATTTTTAAAAATATCAACAATTTTTGGTTTTTGATATTTTCTACTTAAATTTTTCAGTGTTTTTTATGACACAGATGGTTGTGAAGGTTCTTCATCCTCTGGTATTGCCATAGATTATTAATACACTAAAAATTAAGCTTGAGTCATTTAAACTTCTTCAGCATCTCCTTATTTATCACTATTTTGTTTTAATTAACTTTCTATTATTTCACTATGTTCGCACATACTTGATTGTTCATTAGTATCATTATTATTCAATTATAAAGTATTTTATTATAACAATTTAGTTGGGAATTTTAATTCTTATTATCTTGATTAGGGTTTTATATTCTCAATAAACATGGCATAATATTCTTATGTTTTTAACGTGTTTAAATCATAATTCTACGGATTTGGTATTTCAACATCATATTACTCTTTATCTGAATCCTCATTTTCATCACCTTACTAATCTTATTAATGAAATGGGTTATCAATCCCTTCTTCATTTACTACTTCCTCTTCAGGTTCAAAATCATTTTATTCATTAATTTCTTCATCTGAATTTTGATCTGATTCCTCAAACTCATCATCCTAAAAATTGTCTTACTCTCTCTAATTTGCTTAAACTCTACTTAACTCTGGAGGAATCGATTACTAAACTGCATTTGTAGGTAATTCACAACTTTCATCAGTGATTGATGATTTTTATTATTGATTTAATTAAAAGTCATTATTAGAAAAGTTTTATGATTAAAGCGTCTTAAATTATTATGATTATTATGTTATTACATTGTCTGTTAATTTTTAATTTTTAGATTATTCAGTTTTTTATTTTAATTCTCTTAATTCTGGCATAAAACTTTTCCCCAATTATTCTTCCGTATAATTTACATATTCAGACTCTCCTGGTAATTCAACATCATTATCAATCATAGATTCTGTTATTCCTTGCTTATATATTTATTGCTATATATATTATTATTATTACTATTATTATTATTGTTGTTGTTATTATTATTACTATTATTATTATTACTATGGTTATTAATATTGTTATTAATTTAGTTATTATTTTGGATGTTAGTATGGTTATAAATTTTTTCCAAGAACTTAAGGATTTATTTCTTAATATTAAATGAAAAATTATTGAACTTATGAATTAGCTGTTGGTGATTACAATGGAGATATTTTCAATGGCTAAATGTTTGCTAGCTATTATTAATGAGGTGATAAAAATAGATTTTCTTTTTTCCCAAGTAAATTAAAAAATACACTTGATGCAAAAACTGTTGGATCCAATGGTCGCTTTTATTTGCCTTGAATAAAATCTTACAATTTGATTATTTCTTACTCAAATAATTATTATTCCTTTTAAATATCTATGACTTTTCTTTGATACTAATCTATTAATTATTAATTCTACATTTCTATTTATTATAATCTCAATTTTTCTTCTAATATTTATCTGACTAAATCAATTTCTTATATATTTTATTAAAGTTCCATCAAATATTACTAATGAACCATGATAGTTTACGGATGATGATTGTTTTAGTCATTAAAAAGCACTTATTGATATTATTATAAATTATCTTATAAATGAAATTGATTTTAAACATTCTATTATGGAGAAATAGGAGGTTGATATTAATTTTTTTAATAAGGTGATTACTAAATAGGTAATTATTATTGAGAATATTATAATTATTGAGGCTATTACTATTATATGTATTATTATGGCGATTCATACCTTTGATCTTACAAAGTTAATAATTATTCCCTTTTTAAATCGCTCTCTGGAGATAGAATTTATAGAGCTGACTTCTTAATAATATCCTATTGTTAAGGTAGCTCATGTTAATTATTTTATTTAGCTCTTTTTACTATTTCTTTTGGTTAAACATTTTAAAGAGGTTAATCAATTTATTCAGTATATTTTTATTTTGCTTATTCTTACTGTCTTTTTTTTTCAAGTAATAATTATTACTAAAATTATTATTATTCTTATTCATCCCTTCTTCGATTATCCTCTTCTTCTTCTTTTTTCTTTCTTTTTTTTTCCTCCATTTATCTTTTTAATTCTTCAGCATATTATTCCTTTTAGGCTTGTCTTTATGGATCTTCTGGTTATCCACTTGTGAATCTTCTCTATAAATATCTTCCTTTTAATTAATCATCAGCTGGTGCAGATTGTGGTGGCTAATACTAATTAGGAGATTAAGGAGGTTGATTATTTTTATAATCATAATCTTATGGGTATTCAAAAACATTTGTTGGATTACTAATTGGCCTTTTAGCAAAATCCGATTGATTTTTTAATTATTATTATTCCATCTCTCTATTTTTTTTTTCCTAAATTTAACGATCAAGTTCCTCTCTATATTTGATTCTTTATATTGCAGCATTATCTTAATTTTAAGATTACTATTATTTCCAGCCTTATTAAGATTATGGCTATCCAAATTTCGAAAAAAAATCTACTTCAATCTAAGGTTATCTTTAACTTTATTTTGGATGAAGTTTTTATTCTTATAACAATTATTATTGTTATTATTACAAAGGGTATTATTACTGTTATTAATATTATTGAACTGTTTATTAGTTTTGTATTTATTGTTAATTTGATTATACTTTTTAACTGATCTACATATCCAATTATTCCTTATATTTTCTTTTTTTTTCCCTTTCTTACTCTGCTATATCATTAATTTTATTCTTCTAATAATTACTATTATTATTCATTTATGAATATTCATATTTTGGTTTTTCTGGTTATTTATATGAATCATTTTTAATTTAATTATAATTTTAGGATTACTGCATTGATCTTGCACTATGGAGTTGATCAGGATAATAATTAGCTAGAGGTTATTGTTAATGATGATTATTTAAATGATGTTGATTTTAATATGAAACAACTTATTATTTATCTAACCAGTCTGTATTTTAATTATTATTATTGATTTGATTCAAATTTTGTAAAAGCTTTTATTCTAATTAGATAGGTAATCTTTGTTTTTCTTACTCATAAGCACTCCCTAAACCATTCTTTCTTCTCAATCTTTCTTCTTCCCTCAATTTAATTCTAGCAGCACGCTCTTGTTCAGCTTTAGATTATTATGGAATGACATCCTAATTTTCCGTATATTTTTTATTTCTATATGATTCAACATTTTGTCCTGCATATTCTAATTATTTTAAATTTTATTCTTTCTCTTAAAGTTACTACATTCTTAATTCTTTTTTTTTATTATCTGCTTGCATCTATAGTTCCATTTTCAATTAATATTCAGTCATTTAAGGATTTTACTATTTTTCATTTCTATTTCTTGGAGGTCTTCCGATCATAATCGTTAATAATATAAAAAAATAGTTAAATTATTCTAAATAATGTGAAATTATTTGATATCAAGCAAAACCAAAACCTTCCTTTCCTTCCATGATTGCCAGTTCTAACTTTTCCTTTAAAATTTATCTAGCTGGATAATCAGGTAAGTCTAATTAATTAAAACTATTAGTTATAGATTTAATAAAAATACCAAGTGTGTGATGTAGGTAATTCAAAATTGACATAAGGTTTCTTATGTATCTATATTTTTTGTGGGCCATGCATTCCTTTTAATTCTTTAAATCCTCCCAAAGGTACTTTAGAAGTTCCTAAAATAACAATAAATAAATTAAAATACCTGTAATAAATTATAAGTATGCAGCTCTCTTACTCTTATCAAAACTTTCCAATAATTCCCATAACCATTAAATAACTTTATCTCCTTTATCATATCCATGATATTCGATATTCTCTTTCATATCCTCAACTAAAAATATAAATATTATAATCTTACGATCAATATCAGGAAGACCACACAACATTAATTCCATTTCTTTCCATTCAAAAATACTTACTAAAGATTGTGGAATTAATTCGTGGAAGCCATTTAAAAATGCTTCAATCTAATCTTTAATTTCTTTAGCCATTTTTTAGTAACAGTAAGTCTAAACATATTCTAATTTATTTTCTTCAGTAACTAATTTAGTTTTTCCTCCTTCAATTAATTCTCTTTCTTCTAATTTACCAAAATGGTCAACATTATATGTCCAATATATTCCCCAATCTGTTACATTTTCTTCTAATATCTTTTTCATACTTTTATATTCATTCAAATCTATATCTTCCATATCATGAATTGTTAATTTCTAACCCAAAATATGCTTATAAAATGAACGAGTAAAATATGTATCCAATAATTATCCATCATATAATGCTTTACCTACTATTCTTCCAATAAATTTAAAATATTTAACATGATCTGGATTCACATGAGATTTATTACTTGGCTAAAACATTTAACCATTTAATGATGGAGTAAAGAGAGCATAATTAGGATTGAAAATCTCTTTAGAAAGCATCAAAAACCATTCTCTCGTTACTCCTCCTGCATCTACACCTTCTTCTCCATCAAATTCTACATGTAATTTACCTTTCAATTCTTCTGGCTTTAATTTACTTATACGATGATATGAATCCATAAAGATATCCTTTCTTCTACATCTTAAATTTATATTTCCATAATGATGTCTATTATTTTGCATTTTTAATTGTTTCAATTCCATCTTAAAATACTTCTATTTGTTATCAAAATCTACTATTCTAGGATTCTTAAATATTATCACTCCCAAAGAATCATTAACTAATTTCCCTTTCTCTCTTAATTCTTATAATCTCTCTCTAATCATCATATTCAACAGAACTTTACCACTCTCACATATCTATTAAAACAATTCATCATGTAACTATTATTCTTATACTTCCTATTAATATCCTTCCATACTAGCAATCTTTGTTGGTTCTCTTTAAACATTCTTATTCTTTCTTATTGGATTAACTAATTAATAAATTATAAAAAAGCATTCCAAATATGGAGATATCTTTGTACTTAATTTTGCTAACTTCTCTTATGGTATATCTTGCAATAATTTTATTAAGTTTTTCCATAACTAAATTAATCCTTAATCTTCTAACAATTCCTTGAAATTACTTCTTGTATCTTATTAATCATTATTCTCTCCTATTTTATCATTCATTTCTCTGACAAATTAAAATACATTAATCAATGCTTTATCTGCAGTAAATATCTCATCATATTGACATTGTTTTGCAAAATTATTATTTATTTCTCTCGTTATTCTTTAAATAAACTCCTTTATATATTTTATAATCAACTGTTGATTTTCTTTATTATTACTAAGATTTAAAATTATATGAGAAAAGTTCTTTACACTTCTATTCATATTTTATAATAATATTGTACAAACACATTCCACTGATTTAGAATCTAAATTTAATTAATCTTATTTAAAGTCTTTTTACTTTGTTGTAATATTAGATATTGCTTAAATCAACAATTCTTAATGATCACCCTTTAACAAAGGCAAAAGTTAAATTAATTATAATAATGGAAGATCTTAAGTACCTTCAGACAATTTAGCAATTGATTGCAATTAACCTTATTTCTTTGTTTCAAAGAAATATTTTATTGATGGGCCCTACAATTTTGAAATTAAATAAAGAATCTTAAGTGAAACAATCTCATAGATCTTTCTTTAATCTCTTATTAATCCATTTCTTCTTATTAAAATTTAAGGTGGAAATTCACTTTAATCATTTCTATGAACTCGATTCTTTAAAATGAAAAATAGAGCATCAATCAACTTGTATTCTACATTTGGATTATTTGTCAAGGCAATGAATAGATTAATTGGGAAATTTACAAAACTATGTGATTCCACATAAAGTAATTTTAATAATGATTCAGCAAACTCATCATCCACATTTCCTAATTTCTAAACTAAATGTCTTTAAGTTTAAAGCAAATTTTTCAAGTTCAAAGATTTTTGATTTTCTTTTCTTTATTATTAAGGCTATAGATTTTGATTACGTTAGTTTTATTATTATTAAGGATCTATCTAATAATACAATTATCTCTCGGTTTATTCTATCGCCCTTTAATCAGCTCGGTCTCTTATATAGGTAGCTTCCTACCTTAAATCTTGTGGTAAATTTCTAACTTATTCTGCACTAATTTGTAAGTAAATTTCCTCTCTATCATCGTAAGGAGTTTAATTAATCAAAGCTACTAATTAATCTAGGTCGGATTGTTATTAAGGTTAATTTTAAGGTGGTTATACATATTATTAATATATTTCTCGTTAAATTTCTGGTGGTAAAGATTAAAAGAATTATGGATCTATTCCTTCAATATTGTTTAATTCTTTATTTTCAGGTATAGTTGATATTATATCAACCATCATCTCCTCTGTTAAATCTTCAAATACTGATGGATCAATATTATTATTTGTTAAATCATCAAATGATCTTCCGACCCTTTAGAGAAAACTGTAAGTATTAGGATAAAGTAATTCTAAATTTTATTATTATTATTATTATTATTAAATATTTTAGTTTATTTATTCTACTTTTTAAGGCTATTCTTCTGTTTGCATTTATTACTATTATTATTACTATTATTATTATTATTATTATTATTATTATTATTATTATTATTATTATTATTATTATTATTATTATTATTATTATTATTATTGCTCTTTTTTTTCTTATTATTCACTTTCTTAATTTTATGCTTCTAACTACATAACTTCTGAATTACCTTAAGGAACAGAAATTTATTATTCTTCTACTTAAATCTATTACTAAACTTGTTATTATTATTATTATTACTAGGACTATTATTATGATTATTATTGCTATTAATTTTAATTTGTATTAAGCAAATTTAAGAATTATTGTTATAATTAATCTTATATGCTTTGTAAATTTTAAGAATTTTGCTACAATTAGGCAAGATTAGATTATAATTACTATTGAGGTTGTTGTAAACCTTATGAGATTTAATTCCAATTAAATAATCGAATAAATTATTACTCTCTATTATGATGTTAGTGTTGTTATTATAATAAATTAGTTTGTTATTGATTTTATTGTTATAACTATTGTTCTAATTATTATTCTTCTCTTCTGTTTCTAAAAATCAGTGATCTGTATCTATCCTATCTCATTTATTCATTTCTTTCTAATCTATCAATCTGATCAAATCTTGCTGCTGCTTAGAATCTATTCAAAATTCTATCATTTTAATCAATTCTAAATATTTCAGTAGTAAATCTATTGTCTCTAAAGAATGGCTGCATTCTCAATTCTTATGGATAAGATCTGTCATCTAATTAGAATGATTTAGAGATATATTGAGTAAGTTCAGTCCACCAATTTATAGGTTATGAATCATCAGGAGAGTTCATTTTAGGAAGAGAATGAACTAATTTATCTAACACTTTGATAAATTATTATGGAAATTGAATGCCAATCAATTAAATAATAGATTTAGTCATTTTAGCAAAAGCTTAATCTTCTCTACTAGTAAGATGATGAAATTATTTAGTGACTTCAATATTTTCTTCAGAAATTTCATTGTTTTATTCATCTTATTCTTCATTTTCTTCATCCATAACTCCTTCTTCATGATCTTCTTCATGTTCTTCTTCATCTTCTTAATCAATATCTTCTTCATTATCACTTTATAGATCACTATTTGAAGCATTTTCTTCTTCTTATTCATCTTATTCACTTCCTTCTTCTTCTTCTTCCTACTAATCATTATCTTCATCTTCATCTTCTTCATCAGTCCAACTTGATGAAGAATTTTATGCTTCTTCAGCTTCTATTTAATTATTTCCACTTTAACTAGATGCCCAACTATTTTCTTCTTCTTCAAGATCTGGTGCTGATTCATGAGAATTATGAGAATCTCCACTTTGATCACTAAGCATATCATTATCATCATATTCCAATTCTAACATACCATCATCTTCATCTATATTTGCAATCAATTCAACATTTACAAGTCTATTCCTTCTTCTAAATGGAGATAAGAATTATTAAAATTCTAATTCTTCATGTTATTAATTTTAATTTAACTCTTCTAAGAATGAAATTGGTAATAGTGGCCATTTCTAAAAATATTTGATTTAATCTTAATATAAAATACTCTTATTTGGAACCAATTGTGAATTAATCTCTTCTGGTAACAATTATCCTATCATCCCTTATAATTGAAAATGATCTCCATATTGTTCTTATTGTTATTTTGATATTATGACAGCAGTAGGTTTATAAAACAAAAGATAAATAGCCATATTAAATAACACAGCTAATGTTTCTGTTATGAACTATAATTCTTTTTCATAAATATAATATGACTTTAACTCAAAATTCTTCATTCCATCCATATACAATTTAATAAAATTAAATGAATTTACTGTGTCGTGAATAT